TGAACATTGGGGTGCATAGGTTCTTTTCAATTGGCATCTCAGGATGCTTAGGATATAATCCTAGCAGTGGAATTCCTGGGTCAAAAGGCAATTCCATTTTTAGTTTTCAGAGGAAATTCCATACTGTTTTCCACAGTGGCTGCACCAGTCTGCATTCCCACCAACAGTGCACTAGGGTCCCCTTTTCTCCACATCCTCTCCAACACTTGTTGTTTGGTCTATGATGGCCATTCTGACTGGTGTGAAGTGGTATCTCATTGTGGCTTAAATTTGCATCTCTCCAATGGCTAGTGATACTGAGCATCCTTTCACATGTCTCTGGGCCCTCTGTATGTTGTCCTTGGAGAAGTGTCTGTTGAAGTTCTTTGCTCATTTTCTAATTGGGTTGATTTTTTTCCTGGAGGAAAATCATGTGAGTTCTTTATATATTTTGGAGATCAAACCCTTGTCCAAGATATGATTTGCAAATATATTTTCCCATACCATTGGTTTCCTTTTCATTTTGCTGATGTTTTCTTTAGCCATGCAGAATTTTTATTTTTATGAAGTCTCATTTATTTTTTCATTCATTTGTGTCCCTTGCTCTAGGGAACATAGCAATGAAAATATTTCTGCATGGACTATCTGAGATTTTCCTGCATATGTTCTCCTCTAGGACTTTTATGGTGTCGTGACTTATATTTAAGTCTTTTATCCACCTTGAGTTTATTTTTGTGTATGGTGTTAAGTTGATGGTCAAGTTTCATTTTTTTGCATGTAGCTGTCCAGATCTCCCAACACCATTTGCCAAAGAGGCTATTTTTACTCCATTTTATGCTTCTGTCCTCTTTGTCAAATATTAACCATATACACTTGGGTTAATTTCTGGGCTCTCTATTCTATTCCATTGATGTATATGTCCTTTCTTATGCCAGTACCAGATTGTTTTGATTACCATGGCCTTGTAATATAGTTTCATATCAGGTATTGTGATCCCTCCTACTTTGTTCCTCTTTCTCAAAATTGCTGAGGCTATTTGGGATCATTTATGGTTTCATATAAATTTTTGAAATGTTTTTTCTATATCTGTGAAACATGTCCTTGATATTTTAATAGGGATTGCATTGAATCTATAAACTGCTTTGGGTAGTATGGACATTCTGATGATGTTAATTCTTCCCAACCATGAACATGGTATATGCTTCCATTTACTTTTATCTTCCTTAATTTCTTTCTTCAGTTTTGTGTAGTTTTCTGAGTACAGGTCTTTTACCTCCTAGCTTAGGTTTATTCCCAGGTACTTTATTTTTCTTGTTGCTATAGCAAATGGAATTTTACTGATTCCTGTTTCTGATATTTCATTGTTGGTATATAAAAATGCTTTCAATTTCTGGATATTGATTTTGTATCCCACTGTTTTGCCAAAATCACATATTAGTTCTAGTAGTTTTTTGGTGGAGTCTATAGGGTTTTCTAGGTACACTATCATGTCATCTGCAATGAGTAAGTTTTACTTCTTCCTTTCCAATTTAGATGCCTTTTATTTCTTCTTGTCTGATTGCTGTGGCTAGGACTTCCAATCTATATTGAATGGAAGTGGCAAAAGTGGACATCCTTGTCTTGTTCTTGATCTTAGTGGGAAAGCTTTTAGTTTTTGCCTGTTGTGTATGATGTTGGCTGTAGGTTTCTTACATATGGCCTTTATTATGTTGAGGTGTGCTCCCTCTACTCCCACTTTTCTGAATCTTTTTATCATAAATGGGTGCTGTATCTTATTAAATTCTTTTTCCACATCTGTTGATATGATCATGTTATTTAGTCTTTCCTCTTGTTTATGTGATGTATTACATTTATTGATTTGCGAATATTGTATCATCCTAGCATTCCCTGGGATGAATCCTACTTGATCCTGATGTATGATCTTTGTAATGTATTGCTGGATGCAATTTGACAATATTTTGTTGAGAAATTTATTGTCTGTGTGCATCAGCAAAATTGGCCTGTAGTTTTCTTTCTTTGTTGTGTCTTTGCCTAGTTTGTGGATTAGGATGATGCTGGCTTTATAAAAAGAGTTTTGGAGTCTTCCATAATTTGGGGTTTTTTGGAATAGGTTAGCTCTTTCTTAATGTTTTGTAAAAGTCTCCTGTGAAACCATCTGGTCTAGGGCTTTTGTGTGCCAGGTGTTTTTTTATTACTGCTTCAATTTCACCAGCTGTTCTTGGTCTCTTCAGGTTTTCTGCTTTTTTTAAATTCAGTTTTGGAAGATTATATTTTTTTAGAAATTTGTCCATTTCACCCAGGTTTTCAAATTTCTTGGAGTATATTTGTTTGTAGTAATTTTACAATCCTTTGTATTTCTGTGGTATCACTTGAAATCTCTCCTCTTTCATTTCTGATTTATTTATTTGGGTCCCCTCTCTTTTTGTCTTGATGAATCTGCTTAAAGGCTTGTCAATTTTGTTTATCTTTTCAAAGAAACAGCTCCTGGATTTATTGATCCTTTGAATTGTTCTTTTAGTTCTTTGAATTGTTCTATGTCTTTTAATTCTGCTCTGATCTTGGTTATTTCCTTCCTTCTACTTGCTCTGGGCTTTGTTATTGTTCCACTAGTTCTTGTAGATGAAGGGTTAGGTTGTTTATTTGAAATGTTTCCATCTTTTTTAGGTAGGCCTGTATCACTAAGAACTCTCCCTTCATGACTTCCTTTGCTGTGTCCCATAAGTTTTAGACTGTTGTGTGTTTATTTTTGTTTGTTTCCAGAAGGTTTTTAATTTCTTCCTTGATCTCATTATTAACCCATTCATTGTTTGATAGCATGCTATTCAATCTCCATGAATTTGAGTGTTTTTGAGTTTTTTTCTTGAGGTTGGTTTCTAGTTTCAGGCCCTTGTAGTCTGAGAAAATGCTTAATATGATTTCAATTTTCTTAAATGTTTTAAGGCTTGTTTTATACCCTATCATGTGGTCCAACTTTGAAAATGTTCCATGTCCATTTGAAAAAAATTTGTATCTTGTTTCTTTCAGATGAAAGGTTCTATTTATATCAGTTAAGTCCATTTGATCTAGGGCATTGTTCAGTGCCACAGTATCCTTGTTGATATTTTGTTTGGAAGATCCTTCCATTTTTGACAGTGGGGTGTCAAAATCCCCTAGTATAAATGTGTTGCTGTCTGTATATTTCTTGAAGTTCTCCAAGATTTTCCTTATACATTTAGGTGCTCCTATGTTGGGTGCATATATGTTTATAATGCTTATGTGTTCTTGATAAATTCATCCCTTGAGTATTAGGAAGTTTCTTTCTGTGTGTCTTTTTATGGCCTTTGGTTTGAAATCTCCTTTTTCTGATATCAACTTTCTTTTCCTGCTCATTTTCTTGGGATATTTTTTTCCGGTCCTTTACTTTCAGTCTGTGTAGGGTTTTTTTCTGAGGTGGGTTTCTTGTAGGCAGGTCATATGTGCAGGTCATGTTTTCTTATCCGTTCAGCTACCCTATGTCTTTTGATAGGAGCATTTTATCCATTAACATTTAAGGTTATTATTGATAGGTACTTATTCATTGCTATTTTTCCCCTTTGTACCTATATTCCTCTCTCTCTCACTCTTTTTCTTTCTCTTCTTAAAGAAATTCTTTTAACATATCTTACAGTGCTGATTTGATGGAGGTGTATTCTTTCAGTCTACTTTTGTCTGGGAAACTCCTTATTTGGCCTTCCATTTTAATTGAGAGCCTTGCTGGGTAGCTGGGTAGCCTTGGTTGCAGGCCTTTGCTTTTCATTACTTAGAGTATTTTTTGCCATTCCCATCTGCCTTGAAGCATTTCTATTGAGAAATCAGCTGCTAGCCTTATCAAAACTCTCTTGTATGTTACTTCTTATTTCTTCCTTGCTGCTTTTAAGATTCTCTCTTTGTCTTCAAAACTTGACATTTTAATTATGAGGTGTCTTGGAGTGGGCCTCTTTGGGTTCATCTTGATTGGGACCCTCTGTGCTTCCTGAACTTGCATGGCTTTTTCCCTCTTCAGGTTCGGGAAGTTTTTTGTCATTATTTTTTTCAAACAGGTTTTCTATCCCTTGTTTTTTTTGTTCTCCTGGTATTCCTGTGACTCAAATGTTGTCACATTTCATGTTGCCCTATAGTTCCCTTAACACTTCATTTTTTTTTAGTCTTCTTTCATTCAGCTGTTTTATGTATGTATTTCTTTCTGTCTTGTCTTCCAGCTCATTAATTCTGTCCTCTGCTTCATCCAGGCTGCTTGTAATTCTTCCTAGTGTTTTTTTTAAAGATTTTATTTATTTACTCTTAGACAGAGGGGAAGGGAAGGAGAAAGAGAGAGGGAGAAAATTCAATGTGTGGTTGCCTCTCAACAGGACCCCTCCTGGGGACCTGGCCCACAACCCAGGCATGTGCCCTGACTGGGAATTGAACCAGCAACCCTTTGATTTGCAGGCCCATGCTCAGTCCACTGAGCCAAACCATCCAGGGCTAGTGTGGTTTTTTTTAATTTCAGAAATTGTATTGTTCATTTCTTCCTGGTCCTTGTTTATAGTTTCTATTTTCTTTTCATACTGTTGTAGTTGCCACTCAGTTCCTTGTAGTTGTGTATGAATTCCTTGAGCATCCTTATAATCATTCTTTTGAATTCTGTATCTTATAGTTTGCTTGCCTCCATTTTATTTAGCTCTTTTACTGGGGAGTCTTCCATTCCTTTTGATTGTGGGTTCTTTCTTTGTCTCTCCATTTTAGATGACTTTTTTTTGTTTGTTCCTGTGATCCTTGAGGCTCTGTTTTTCCAACTGTCTTCATAGGATAAACTTCTATAGTAGGAATTCTGTGAGACTCAGTGGTACAGTGTCTTTTTCTCCTTGTCTCGATGCTCTAGGGTTCCCCTTCCTTCCATTCGTGTGGGCTCTCTTAATGTACTTGGGCTTATCTGTTGGTGGCTCCTCTGTTGGTGGGTCCTCTCCTCCAGCAGGTTTACTAGTACTCACAACTTCCACCTTGTCTGGTACGTGATTAGGGGCATGGAGAAGGCAAAATGGAGCAAGACAGCAGGAGACTATTCTATGGGATTTAAAGTACTAACAAGTAGAGGACAGATAGGATATCTTTTGGAGAAGTACAGCAATAACCATGATATTTCCATGATAAATAACCATGACATAGCCATGATATTTCACCCAACTAACCACTATTTATAAAAGGTGAAAAAGAGATAACATTCTTATTAGAAGGGAAAAAGAATGTGAACTGACTTTGGCAAGCAGAACTTATGTGAGGTTAGATGGTGAGATAAAGAGTAAGGGATAGAAACTTGGCATAGCGTGTGAGAGAATAGAGTTAACCACAACAGTAATAAAGTTCAGGAAGATGGCAAAATGGATTAAGAGCAGGAGAGGGTGCTGTGTGGGGTTTGGAATAACAATAATATGATAAGGAACATATAATTTGAGTAAAAAGAATAAAAAATAAAAGACCAAGAGTAGTGTGTTATTGGAATGCAAGTGAAGTGAAAGAAGAAAAATTAAAATGCAATATAAAACGGAGAATAAAGAAAATTGATCAATGGAATCAAACAAACAAAAAAAACTAAATGGAAAAAAGAGAAAATAAAAAATGAAATAAAATGCAAGTTCTAAAGGCTGGCAAAGTGAAATTTGCCTCAGCTGTTGGTGTTAGCCTTCTGACTTCTTTCTGGATCTGTCTTTGTCTTCTCATAGCTTCACATGCTATTGTCTTACACATTTGTTTTTAAATGTCCTCAGCAACCTTTGGCTTCCAAACTTCATATCAGCTGGAATTCTGTTGGCTGTTCATTCTGTTCTTTGGAAGATCAGCTAGGTGTCCCAGTTGGGTGCGAGAGCAAGTGGATTCAGCTCCCATCCACCTCACTGCCATCTTCTGTGCATTTTTCTTTTAGTACAAAAAGGGTTTTGCCCTTGTCAGATGGATCAGTTGATTGGAGCTTGGTCCCCTTGGTTGGAGCGCCATCCTCTACACCAAAAGGTTGCAGGTTCAGTCCCTGGTTGGGGTGTGGATGGGAGGCAACCAATTGATGTTTCTCTCTCCCATGGATGTTTTGGGCTCTCTGTCTCCCCTACTCTCCCTCCCCTCTTCCCTTCTCTCTAAAATCAATAAAAAACATATCTTTAGGTGAAAATTTTTTAAAAAGGGTTTTTAATTAAGTGTTCATTTGCATAATTTAAAAACGCTGACTTTTAATAATATATTTTCAAAATATTTATAGCTCTGGCCAAGTAGTTCAGTTGGTTAGTTCAGTTCATCAGATATGCCAAGGTTGTAGGTTCAATCTCTGGTCTGGGCACATAGAAGAAGCAATCAATGAATGCAACAAATCAGTCTCTGTCTGTCTCTGTCTCTCTTCATCCCCTCCCAATTATACTCTTTCTTTTAAAAGGTAAATAAATAAAATTTAAAAAATATTTTAAAAGGCCTACAAAGTGCCAAGCAACATAGAAACAATATGTTAAGATATATGTGATACATATAATTAGTATTTGTGTTTGAGGTAGCTGAGTAAATTTACCAATCTTTTAAAAAAATTCTCACCTGAGGATATTTTTTTAAAACTGATTTTAGAGAGAGAGGAGGGAACAGAAAGAGAAAAACATCAAAGTGAGAGAGAAGCATTGATCAGTTGCCTCCTGTACATGTGCCCCAACTGGGGATCAAACCTGCAACCTAGGTATGGGCCCTCACTGGGAATCAACCCAAAACCTTTTGGTGCATGAGATGATGCTCCAACCAACTAAAGCACCCAGCTAGGCCAAGTTATCAATCTTTAATATAGCTGAAATTTACTTTGTTTTACATTATAAGGCAATGTCATGATATTTCAGAGTATCTCCTCACCTCGCTTACAAGACAGGCCCTGAGGGAGTATCTTGGTGAATTCCTTGGCGAAGATGCTGTTGCAGAAAAAATTTTTTTTCTGAAATACATTGGAAGTAATCTAGCTGTGATTAGTTTTAAAATTTTGTTTCCTTTTTATTAAAGAAAAGTGTATCTTAACAAATATTTTTTAAATGCTCATCAACTCAGCTCCTTAACTACACAATCACAATGAAATGAAAGTATCGCTAAACACGCAGGTCATCAAGAACAGATGGGTCTTATTGGCATATTATCAGGCACTAAAATGAAGAGGGTATTTTTTTATGTGTGAATTTCCCTGGGAAGAAAATGAAGACAAATTTAAAATGTAATCATGTAAATAACATGCATTTTTTAATTTATTTTTAGAGAGAGTGGAAGGGAGGAAGAAAGAGAGGGAGAGAAACATCAATATGTTGCCCTTTGCATGCCTCCAACCAGGAACCTAGCCTGCAACCCAGGCAGGAACCCAACTGGATACCTTTTGGTTTGTGGGACTATGCCCAACCCACTGAGCAACACTGGTCAGGACCATATCTTTGAATTTAAATGATAGTGTTTTAAAGCTTTTTAAACATGTACATGTGTTCTGAAGAAAAATGAGTTCCCATTGCATATGCCACAACTAGCCTTGGTTGGTGTGAAATGATTATAACTCCTACATACCTTTTTAGGTATCAGCTAGTATCTACTGATTGCTCCTATTTGTAGTTTCTATGATTTAGTGCCAGGATTTTCTAAGCAGAGAGCTTCCTAGCTGAAATTCTCAATCCAGGAATCCACCAGATCTCAAATTTTCTGGTTTCTCATATGTATATAAGGTTTATTTGTTCAGTCAAGATTTTTCATATGTAAACTTTTCAGCATATTCCTGTTCCACTCTAGGTAACATAATATACCTTGTTATATATTTTTATGTGATTATTTAACATCTAACTGTCATTAGACTCTAGTTCCCTATGAGGAGGGAGTTTATTTTATTCATTATTATATTTATAATCAGTACCCAACAAGAGATATTTAAATGTTAATTGAACAAATTAAGTTATGACTCTTAATAGAAAAAGTAAACATTTTCCCCCAAAGTAAGACTGTAAAGGAGTTTGCTACATGGAATTTTTAGAATCAGCAGCTAGATTTGACATTTTTGTCATCGGAGTTGTATTTAATCTGCCAGGATATTAAATTACTGATTTTTAGTTTCGTTTTCCTCAAATGAGGGAAAAAATAGATAACTCTCATAACTTTTTTCATGATATTAAAATTACAAAATATTAATCACAGAATCCTAGGTTGAAAGTGATCTTAAAGGTAATTTAAGTCAACTTCTAAAATTCTTCTAATATTTTATTATTTTCAACAAATGTTTACTGATTTTTTTCTGCATGTGAAGTGAGAAAAAAAGAATCTGATAGCAATTCTGTCCTTAAAGAACATTCCATGTTGTGAAGATAAAATACATTAATAAATAAAATAGCATAGTTTGTATGTTCAGAAGAAAAAGAGATTACTTCCAGCAGGAGAAAAGGGGAGATGGAGAACTTCAAGGAAGAAGTGATGTTCATTTTGGATGTTGAAAGATAAATATCTGATCTTGCAAAGATGTTGGGTGGAGAAAGCTTTCTGAGCAGAGGAGATAGAGCGAGCACAGGAGCGGAGAAGCAGGCAGCCAAGAAAGAGCAAGTGGTTCACTTTTGATCGTGTGAAAGGAAATAAGTAGATAAGTTGTAAAGTAGTTTGTTGAATGTCTTGAATGCCAGATTAATGAGTTTAGGTTTCTTTTCTAAAATTTTGGACTTTTTGAACAAAAGATGACAGATGAAAGCCTTCAGAGACTAGAGGCAGGGGTTGTAACCAGGAAACTTTTGAAAAAGTTAGGCAAACAATAAGGAGTTCCTAAAGAATGGGCTGATTTTCAGATTTCATCTACTATTCTTTTCTACTTCAGACACAAAAATCCTCTTTTGGTCCCTAACAGCAAACTCACTTCTGATTTATAATATACTTGTACTTGCCTAGAAATCATTTACCCCTGATTTTTGAATGGCTTTCCTGTTCATGACTCAGGTCTCAACTCAAGTATTATCTTTTTTAAATGGCCTTCTCTGATTACCTAGTTTTTAGATATCCTTTCTCTAAAGTATACTCTATTACATTATTCTATTTTTTTCACAAATTCCTATACTAAATCATGTTTACTTAACATCTGCTCTCCCAAAGTAGAATGTTAAGCTACATTAAAGCAGGAACTTGGCCTTGTTTACCATTGTACCTCTACTATATATAGCATTGCCTGACACATAGTATGCCCTCAATATTTGTTGAATGAATGGGTGACAAATGAACATTTAAGAAATAAAGAGCACAGCCCTGGCTGGTGTAGCTCAGTGGATTGAGTGCGGGCCTGCAAACCAGAGGATTGCAGTTCGATTCCCAGTCAGGGCACATGCCTGGGTTGCAGGCCAGTTCCCAGTAGGGGACTCAAGAGAGGCAACCATACACTGATATTTCTCTCCCTCTCTCCTTCCCTTCCCCTCTAAAAATATATAAATAAAGTCTTTTTAAAAATTAAAAAAGGAGAAATAAAGAGTACAATGTTAGACTCTGGAGCCAGATTACCTGGTTTTGAATCCCAACTCGGAAACTTCCTAGTTATAAAATCTTGGGAAGTTACTTAATTTCTCTTTGCCTCAATCTTGCCTGTGAACTATAGACAGTATGTGTGCCTATCACTTGAAATTTTGAGTATTAACTTAGATAATATATGAAAAACACTTAAATAGTGCCTGGCACACAGTAAGGTCATCCAAATGATAGCCATAATTATTATTAAGTAACAAAGAATTTCTATTATGTTTAGTAAAGAAAATAGAAATAGGATTATATTCTACATTTTCTAGAACCTAGCCTTAACTACCAGGTTAGATTTCTTTCAGGTTAGATTTCTATGGCATAAGTGTGAGCCTTTGAAGGGAAAAAAAGTAGAGGTAAAAATAATTGAAAAATATTATGAAAGCTTTAATTGTTTTCTCATTTATTTCTAGGTGAAGGCAAAACAAGAATCAGAACTGAAACTCAAATTGTTTGTTCCTCCATATGTGTGTAACATGACATTTTAAATCTATGCTAATTTTATTTTATTGGCTAATTTTTTAACCTACTGCTTTTTAACTTTCTAATTATGTAATATTTCCTATATGTTTTAGGCTCTTCAGTCAGAATTATATTTGCTTCCTATAATGGATCATTTTGGAAACATTTACTCAGCATCAAGAATTTCTTTAGATGGGTGGCAGACTAATAATGGTGTTGCTGAGGCTGTCAAAATAATTCTCAGACCAGTTACTGTAACTCTGTCAAAAGAAGAACCTGAAACAGATCCAAGTTTTTTAGAAAATACTTTGAAAAACCCTCTTAACAAAAATAAGGAAGAAGGTGATTTCAACTGCAATGGGAGAGACAAAGAGGTTATTACAGCATATTTTAGCAGTCAGGTCTGTAAGGAAATTCTGGGCCAATCTAGCCTTATGAATATAGGCACCATAAAAGGGAAAGCTACAGTTCAATTTGGGGATATTAAAATAGTTTCACCAGGTGGGAGAAATAAACCATTTAAGTACTATGCTAAAATAGAAACAAAATCAAAACACTTACTGTGCCTTAATTAACTCTACTGCCTTTACTTCTTTTATAATATTATAGTTTCAGATACAGTTAAGGCTAAATGAGAAAAGAAGGAAGTGATTACTACATAAAACCTTGGTATTATTTTAAATCTAAAAGGTTCTTAGTTAGCAAAACAGTATTTTAAACCAATGCAAAAACAACTTTAATCTTGGTAGACATTTGTATTTTAAAAAATTTTAGACTTTTGAGCTCACTATACCCATCAATTTACTAAAATAATTCAGTTCTTAAAACTGGTAAGTGATTTTTAAAAATCAAAGTTAAACTTATATAAATAAAGTTGTTATTACACTCTATTTTTTACCTTAATTCATACACTAAATAAACTATTGAAAAAGTAAATATACTAAACATTTATAAATGAAATGCATCCCCCTAGTCAAGGCTAATGACAACAGCCTTTACAGCTGCAAAATACACTTGATCTTAAACAGCTTCATTGTTTATATTCTAAGCAATTCTTATATTCTAAGTTTACACTATACCTAGTGACCTTCCAAACTTAGCACCTTCTTTAACCATAGGCACATTTAACATTTACCATTCTCATGTGATTTACTATTAATTAGTCTACAAGAAATTAGTTTTTATGCATTATGTGAGATAGGGTTTCTTAGTATTTTTCCATATATATACTACCGTTTATTGATAATAGTTGTATAAAATTGCCAAACTGCCCTTTAGTAGTGCATGAGAATTCAAAATATATGAGCCCTAACATTGTGATATTATCAAATATAGCTGATAAGAACATACACAGTATGTTTTATAAGTCCTTTAATAAGGGAAAAAAGGAGTACAGTATTGCTTTATCCATTTTTACACATTGAAATGGGTATTTCTTTACATTAGTTATCTCCGGTTCTTTCCTGCAAGTCTGTGCACTATGTCTTCTCATCTTTTTAAGGGTTTTTTTTTAAGGTTTTGTTTATTTTAGAGAGGGAAAGGGAGGGAAGAAGAGAGGGAGAGAATCATCAGTGTGTGGTTGCCTCTCACACGCCCCCTACTGGGGACCTGGCCCGCAACCCAGGCATATGCCCTGACTGGGAATTGAACTGTTGACCCTTTGGTTTTCAGGCCAGTGCTCAATCCACTGAGCCACACCAGCCAGTGCTCAGTTTTGACATAATTAAACTTTAACATATTTAATACTTGACTCCATCATTGACCCCAAACCAGTATATTTTCTTGACTTCTTTGCTTTTATCATATTTTCAGTTGTTCAGACTTTAAGCTTTGAAATTTCCTTTATTGTGGAATAATTGAGGTAAAAGAACTTCAAAAATCCTCTTAACTACCCCCCTTTCTTATAACTTCCTTTCCAGTCTATCCTCTAGATCCTGTTAGAATCATTCTTCTTGTTACAAGTTGAATTATCTGTCTCCCTATTTAAAAATCTTTGAAACACTCATTGATTACTACTTCAAGCCCAAGTTCCTTAAGGTGGCATAGAGGACCCTCATACTCTGACTTCAGACCCAGGGTTACCAATGTTGGGCTGTGCAGATTGTTCACTGCCTAGCTCTGGAAGCCTTTCTTTCATATAGATCATGATATGAATGGAGCTTGCAGGACTTTCTCAATAAGGTAGTTGGTTTAACAATTTTGCAATAATTTTAGCTATTACTGTTATTAGCACTATTATTATTATAGTTTAGGGGTAGGAAGAGGAGGAACAAGTACCAAGAAGTACAACTGGAGAAGTAGGTAGGGATTGGAACCTTAAGAACCTTGCTTGCAAAAAGCTAAGGAATTATGTAAGCAGTGAGAAGCGTGCTGAGATTTTTAATGGGGGTGGCATGATTGGATTTAAGTTCCAGAAAAACAACTTAGGCAACCATGTGGGCAACAGACGGAGGAAATAACTGAACTGGGAAATGCGGTGGAATAGAAATCAGAACTTGAAGAGACTGCTAAGGATTCTGGGCTGTGCTGGGTGCTTTACATGCACTGTGTCATTTTAGGGACAGGGAAACTGAAGTCAGAGCTATAACTTACCTCAGGTCACACCTGCTGTGACAGTGCCAGGACTTGAAATCTTATGGTTTGACTAAAAGCCCATGCTTTGTAACACTGGGCTAGAGTCATACAGAATTTTTCATGATTGCCGAAAACGCTACATACATTACTACTCTGTATCCTGCAAATGCTATTTTCTTCACTTAAATTTTTATTCTTTTCCAGACAAATATTTCACAGGTCAAAAACACAGTTATCAATGCCCTCCCGCTCCATTTTAAAAATAATGCAGTGCGTCATGCTCCAAACTGCCACTAGTAATACAAGGAACATGTCCCACCCCAATCAGAATGTCACTCAGAATCCAATCAGTTCTGTATTGTTTCTTTTGAGGGCGGCGGATTGGGAGGGTGGCATTTTACTAGTAGCTCTTAAACAGCTGACATACCCATTTTTTGTTCATTTTGCATTGAATATATTTTTTTAGAAAAATTCTGTTTGCTGTCCTTAAATGATTATTCTAGTGCCACCTGGGAAATAAATGGTAGCAGCCAGATTAAAATTAAACCAATAAGCTTTCAGGTTGCAAAATATTGTGACAGTCCTTGTAAAATGACTTTTTGAATATTAATATGACTCATTAATTTTTTCTAAATTAAAAAGTTGATTTGTCCAAGGGGAAAAATCTATATTATCACTGCCAGATTCATAATTCTGTTAAAAGGAAGGGAGATGTTATAAATGAAAATGTATGTGAAATACAAATGAAAATATATGCTCTATATTTACACCAGGGATTTCCAGAGAGGGTTCTTCAGAATGCTACATGAAAAAAAAGATACTTTGACAATTAAGTTTGAGTAAAACCCAACTTACCTCCCTCTTGAAAATTCACAATGTACATAAAAACAGAGAAATCATGCAGTAGGAGTGTGTGTGTATCTTCATACACAGTTGTGTTTCTGTTAGAGTTGCTTAATCCAGTTTTTCCCAAACTGAATTGACCAAAGAATTTTCCTTTCACCTTCATGAAATATCTCATAAAATTTACTTTGGAAATTGTTACCTCTTATTATGTATAGTAAAGTTCATGAATATTCTGAATCATAGGACAAGATAATAGTATGTTCATATAAAATAAAATTTTATTTTAATATTTTCTTTGTTGTGTTATAAACTCTAATATGTTATGAGCTCTGTTTGCCCTGGATGAACATTCCCCTGGGGGGGGGAAGACACGCCGAATAAAACCAGACTGCAAAAAATCAATTCGGAAATTCTGAATCGCCAGGATCATTGGAAGATTCAAATAATGACTGTTTTAGCACCAAAAAGAGGTAATTAGTATAAATATTCAGTGCACATATCATAATCTAAACTGTAAGAAGAGTGATATATCCAGAGTACTGTTATAAGGATTTCTAACTCAAAGATATGAGTTAAATGAGTGATATTTTAAGTTAAATTTATTTCTGTTGTAATCCTTTTGTCATCAGGGCCAACCTAGTTACAGAAAACTTTCTGTCTTCATTTGCATTTCTTAGAACTAATTTTTCAGCCTCTCTTTGATTCTTGGTTGTGGGTAAACTAATCAGTATGCTTGAGTTTCACATTGGTATCATTTCATTCAAATCAGTACTTAAAAAATTACAGAACTTAAGTTATATAAAAAATAAAGAATTTATAAACTATTTTTTACAAAAGAAATACAAACAAAATGTTTATAGAGTTTACAGTTATTTAACCTTGCAATAGACATTGGACTATGATTTGAATTTAGCTATAATGAAACACAATTTTATTGCTAATACTAAGTATAGTTTATATTGATCATTAAAGAGATTAAAAGGAATTATGATAATAATCTCAGGCTAACTTTAAAAAATTTTAGTGTTATATCTGTTTATAGAAGATGAAATAAAATATGAAAGGCTAATATGTATGTAATCATTTTTAACATGACTTTCAAATCTCTCATTTCTTTTAAGTCAGTTTCTTTGGAAAAATGAAGATGATGGAGTTAATAACAATAGAAGACATGACAGTCAGGTATGATATTAGGGTGTTTGTTTAAGTGTGATATTGAAACCTAATATTTATACTGAAACTAAATAAAATTGCAGATTAAAATGTCTAAATTGTCTAACTTTAGAGGTTAGAGGATGGGAGATAAACATCAGATAATTCAGGGACCTGACAATTCAGTGAAATTTGTGAAAGTTCCATGATCTGGGATATTTGGAGATATGCCCTTTAAAGGGAAAGCTAGGTTTTTATCTTGCCCCAGCTACCAATGAGAATGAGTCACTTGATAGACTTCTTTGGAATTTGGAGAGAATTTACCACATTTGGATATGCTGCTCCAATCTTCTTTTTTCAATCAAGTAATCTAAACGACTGCCAACTTTGAGTGGGCCCAAAGCAAAACGGCTCACTAGGTGATCCAAGAGGTATTGCAAGTAGAGCTGCGACTTGTATTTTATAGCCCAGCTGACCCATTGATGCTCAGTGTGATGCTCATGGATTGGATACTGAATGAATGGAGTGTGAGACAAGCACTGGCAGGAGAATCACATCTCAGAGCCCCCACAGATTTACAATGAAACATGCGTTGGAGCAAAGGCATGCCATCTTCAACAAAATAATGCTCTGTTGTTATTGGATATTAACAAAACATGCTACCCTCATGCTTTAAAATTTTTGTCAGTCTGGTGAGTGATTAATGCCATTTCACTGAGGTTGAAATTTCAACTTCCTGGGATACTCTTCAAGTTGATCATGATTTTATATTATGTGGATTCCATTTTGATAACTTTTTTGGAAGTAACTTTTCAAATATTTCTATTGAATTGTCTGCCATAGATTGCTGATTGGTGGGAATTTTTAATATACAGTGAAAACTTGTGCTTATATATATGGCAAATGTCTTCCTCTATTCTGTGCCATATAGTGTACCTTGCTGAGTACATTAAGTCTTCCACATATTATTTTTCCAAATTCTCTTTCTATGTTTTTTTCAATCATCAAGTGGATAAGTGTCAACTTATAATAGAAATAGCTCCTTGGTACAATATTCCATTAACTGCTTCCACACTTAAAATTTTGTGTAGAAAAAAAGTAGGCAAACTAAGCCTGTAGCCTGTTTATTAAGGCCTGTGACTTAAGAATGTTTTTTATATTTTTAATTTTCAGTTACAGTTTATATTCAGTGTTATTTTTTATTAGTTTCAGTGTATAGCATGATGGTTAGACAATCACATACTTTACAAAGTGCCTCCCTGGTATTCCCGGCACCCATGTGGCACAATACTATTGTACAGTATTACTGACTATATTCCCTATGCTTTACTGTACATCCCCATGAGTGTTTTGTAACTACCATCTGTACTTTATAATCCCTTCACCTTTTTCACCCTGTCTCCAACTGCCTTCCCCCCTAGCAACCATCAATCTGTTCTCTGTGTATGAGTCTGTTTCAATCTTGTTTATTCATTTATATTGTTCTTGAGATTCCACATATAAGGAGAATCATATGGTATAATACTTGACTTTCTCTGCCTGACATTTCATTTAGCATAAAACCCTCTATGTTCATCTATGCTTTCATAAATGGTAAAATTTCATTTTTATGGCTGAGTAATGTTCCATTGTACGTGTGGAACACAGCCATTCTTTTGTTTCGAGAATGTTTTCTAAAATTAGAAAACACTTAAAATAGCAGATCCATTCCACTTTTTTCTCGGTGACCACAATTAGTGTTATCTTTACCTTTTATATTTGTTACTTTTTTCTGATCTATTTTACTACTATCTTTATGTTTCATTTTCTTTGCCCATTTTATTTTTTAAATCTATTTATTTAATTGTTCAAGTGCAGTTTTGACTTTTACTCCCATCCCAGCCCACCCCCTCCAGTGCTCCCCACCTCCCTCCCATTTCCACCCCCCCTTAGTTGTTGTCCATGTGTCCTTTATACTAGTTCCTGTAAACCCTTCCCTTTTTCCACTGAAATTCCCTCCCTTCTCCCTTCTGGTCACTGTCAGCCTGTTCTCTATTTCAGTGTCTTTGGTTATATTTTGCTTCCTTATTTGTTTTGTTGTCTAGGTTCTTGTTAAAGATGAGATCATATGGTATTTGTCTTTTACCACCTGGCTTATTTCACTCAGCATAATGCTTTCCAGTTCCATCCATGCTGCAAAGGGTAGGAGCTCCTTCTTTCTTTCTGCTGCATAGAATTCCACTGTGTAAATGTACCATAGTTTTTTGATCCATTCATTTACGGACAGGCTCTAGGTTGCTTCCAACTCTTGGCTATTGTAAATTGTGCTGCTATGAACATTGGGGTGCATAGGTTTTTTTGGATTGGTGTTTCAGGGTCCTTAGGATATAATCCTAGCAGTGGAATTGCTGGGTCAGAAGGCAGATTCATTCTTAGTTTTCTTAGAAAATTCCATAGTGTTTTCCATAGTCATTGTACTAGTCTGCAACCCCATCAACAGTGCACTAGGCTTCCTTTTTCTCCACAACCTCTCCAACACTTGTTGTCTGTTGCTTTGTTTATGATGGCCATTCTGACTGGTATAAAGTGGTATCTCAATGTGGTTTTAATTTGCATCTTTCTGATAGCTAGCAATATTGAGCATCTTTTCATGTGTCTCTGGATCCTCTGTATGTCCTCCTTGGAGAAATGTCTGTTCAAGTCCTTTGCCCTCTTTTTGATTGGGTTTTTTGTCTTTCTGGAGTAGAGTCATGTGAGTTCTTCATGTATTTTGGAGATTAAACCCTTGTCTGAGGTATCATTGGCAAATATTTTTTTCCATACAGTTGGTTCTCTTTTTATTTTAATACTATTTTCTTTAGCCTCGCAGAAGCTTTTTATTTTGATGAGATCCCATTTGTTTATTCTTTCCTTTATGTCCTTTGCTCTAGGGGACATATCAGTAAAAATGTTGCTGCATAAAATATCTGAGATTTTCCTGCCAATGTTCTTCTCTAGGACTTTAATGGTGTCACACCTTATATTTAAGTCTTTTATCCATCTTGAATTTATTTTGGTGTATGGTGTAAGTTGGTGCTTGTGTTTCATTTTTTTTTTCATGTAGCTGTCCAGTTCTTCCAACACCATTTGTTGGAGAGGCTATTTTCACTCCATTTTATGTTGCTGCCCTCTTTGTTGAATATTAAGTGACCATAGAGACTTGATTTTATTTCTGGGCTCTGTGTTCTGTTCCATTGATCTATATGCCTATTTTTATGCCAGTACTGGGCTGTTTTGATTACAGTGGTGGCCTTGTAATACAGTTTGGTATCAGGTATTGTGATCCCTCCTACTTTGTTCTTCTTTCTCAAAATTGCAGCTGCTATTCGGGGTTGTTTATGGTTCCATATAAATTTTTGAAGTGTTTGGTCTATGTCTGTGAAATGTGTCATTGGTACTTTAATAGGTATTGCATTGAATCTGTAAATTGCTTATTTTGATGATGTTAATTCTTCCAATCTATGAACATGGTATATGTTTCCATTTGTTTTTGTCTTCCTTGATATCTATCTTTCTTCAGTGTTGTGTAGTTTTCTGCATATAGGTTTTTTACCTCCTCAGTTAAGTTTATTCCTAGGTATTTTATTTTTCTTTTTGCTATATCAAATGGGATTTTTTCTTTATTTCTGCTTCTGCTGTTTCATTGTTGGTATACAAAAATGCCTTTGATTTCTGGATATTGACTTTGTATCCCTCTGTTTTGCCAAATTCATTTATTAGGTCGAGCAGTTTTTGGGTAGAGTCTATAGGATTTTCCATGTACATTATCATGTCATCTGCAAACAGTGACAGTTTTGTTTCCTCCTTTCCTATTTGGATGCCTTTTATTTCCCTTTCTTGTCTGATTGCTGTGGCTAAAACTTCCAATACTATATTGAATAGAAGTGGTGAAAGTGGACAACCTTGTCTTGTTCTTGATCTTAGTGGAAAAGCTTTTAGTTTTTTCCCATTGAGTATGATGTTATCTGTAGGTCTCTCATATATGGCCTTTATTATACTGAGGAATGCTCCCTCTATTCCTACTTTGCTGTGTGTTTTTATCTTAAACGGGTGCTGTACCTTATCAAAAGCTTTTTTCGCATCTATTGATATGATCATGTGATTTTTGTCTTTCCTTTTGTTTATGTGATGTATTACATTTACTGATTTGCAAATATTGAACCATCCTTGCATCCCTGGGATGAATCCCACTGGATCATGGTGTACGATCTTTTTAATATATTGTTGGATGCGGTTTGCCAATATTTTGTTGAGGATTTCAGTGTCTATGTTCATCAGCAATATTGGCCTGAAGTTTTCTTCCTTTGTTGTGTCTGTATCTGGTTTGGGGATTAGGATGATGCTGGCTTCATGAAAAGAGTTTGGGTGTCTTCCATCATTTTGGATTTTTTGGAATAGTCTGTGAAGAATAGGGGTTAGCTCTTCCTTAAATGCTTTGTGGAATTCTCCTGTGAAACGATCTGGTCCAGGGCTCTGGTCCATAGGAGATTTTTGATTACTGCTTCAATTTCATCTGCTGTTATTGGTCTGTTCAGGCTTTCTGCTTCTTCTTCATTGAGTTTTGGAAGATTATATTTTTCTAGAAATTTGTCCATTTCACCTAGGTTTTCAAATTTTTTGGCATACAGTTTTTCATAGTTATTTCTTACAATCCTTTGTATTTCTGTGGTGTCAGTTGTAATCTCTCCTTTTTCACTTCTGATTGTGTTTATTTGGGTCCCCTCTCTTCTTTTCTTGATGAGCCTGCTTAAAGGCCTGCCAATTTTTTTCATCTTTTAAAAAAACCAGCTTCTGGATTCACTGATGCTTTTAGTCTCTATGTCATTTAATTGTGCTCTGATCTTGGTTATTTCCTTCCTTCTATTGCTCTGGGATATATTTGTTGTTGTTCCTTGAGTTCTTATAGGCGTACAGTTAGGTTGTTTGTCTGAAATGTTTCTATCTTTCTTAGGTAGGCCTGTATTGCTATGAACTTCCCTCTCAGGACTGCCTTCCCTGAGTCCCACAAGTTTTGGGTTGTCACGAGTTCATTTTCATTTGTTTCCAGAAACTTTTTGATTTCTTCTCTAATTTCGTTCTTGTCCCATTCATTGTTTAATAGCATGCTATTCAATCTCCATGATTTTGAGTGTTTTGGGTTTTTTCCTTTGGGGTTGGTTTCTAGTTTCAGTTCCTTGTGGTCAGAGAAAATGTTTGGTATAATTTCAATTTTCTTGAATTTGTTGAGGCTTGTTTTGTGTCCTATCATGTGGTCTATCTTTGAAAATGTTCCATGTGCATTTGAAAAGAATGTGTATTTAGCTTCTTGGGGATGAAGGGCTCTATTAATAACCGTTCAGTCCATTTCACCTATGGTGTTGTTCAATGCCACAATATCTTGTTGATATTTTGTTTGCCATTTTATTTATATTCTTCATTATCCTTACTATATATTTGGTCATATCTGCTCCTCCTTGGATAATTGCTGATTTATTTATTTCTGAGACAATTTTATTTTTTCCTTAATTTCTTCTGTTTGGCCAACTTTATTTCACATGTTCCTGTTATGTTTTCATTGTTATTCGTAGCTAAAAATTTTAAATTAGAGTGTTTGTTAATATCTACAAAAACGTGTTTATTTTTAGGGTATTTATTTATTTACTTATTTTTATTTTGTCCATCAACATTTATCTTCCTACCCTCCCCCACCTCTATCCAACCCCCTACCCCTGCAATTACCACACTGTTTCCTTGCCCATGAGTTCTTTCTTTCTTTTTTTTTTTTTTTGGTTTGATCCCTACGCCCTCCCAGCTCCCCTGCCTAGAGCTGTCAGCTTGCTTTCTATCTGTGAGTCTATTTCTATTTTGCTTATTAGTTCAATTTTGAGGGTTTTAAAAAACTAATTGTGCGAATGCTAGATTGTTTTAAAGATATTGTTCACGTTTACTTGTGTTAGATTTTTCTTTATCAGTATTAACAAACGTGTTCTTATAGAGGAAGAGAGAGCAATATTTTGATGGTTTTTCTGCGTCTTAGGTTTAGAGCACCCTCTTCTGTTGGTACAACAAAATGCAGCTGTTTATTTTTAAATAAATGGGGTTTGGTGGGGAAGGGGTTTGTTTTCTTTGGATACTTTTCCTGCTAATTCTTCAGAGCTCTCACCTTAGCTACTTTCCTCTTCTCTCTTACCATCTAGGACCAAAGAAATAACACCCGTTATTGTCAAAGCACTTTCCTCTCAGAAGTTATGTTTTCCAGTGTCCAAAGGGGAGAGGGGAGGGAATTTCAGGGGAAAAGGGGAAGGGTTTACAGGAACAAGTATAAAAGACACATGGACAAAAACTGGGGGGGGGGGGGGGGAAATGGAAGGGAGGGGGGAGGGCTGGGTGGGTGGGCTGGGATGGGAGTAAAAGAGAAAACTGTACTTGAACAACAATTAAAATAAAATAAATGTCATAAAAAAGATGTCTTCCCATGATTACCACCTCTGGCCCCCTACATTTTACAAGCCCTTTTCTTCTAGATTCCTCATAGAAAGTGCTATGATTTACTAGATCTCATTCTTACTCTCAATATTTCTTCACTGCATGGGAAGGGCCTCTTATTTCAGATAAAACTGTGGTTGATGTTTCCAGTGTCATCTTCATAGTTGTCAATTCATGACTGTTGGCACCAATTCAACACCAACAGAAATCTCCAGTTTGGTCTGTGGTGAAGACAGAAACTTTATTCAGTGCTAAACAGCTCAATCGTTATGCAGCAGGGCTGTGATGTGGGACCAGGCCCTTCTCCATCTAGACACCTGTGCTTTGCTTCCCAGATGGTCTCCTCTGCTCTGTTGTGTTCCATTATGATCTGCTTTGCAGTGCACTGGTCCACTCCATTCTATGCTGCTCTGCTCTATCCTTTGTGGGTCTGTTCTACTCAGCTCTGGTGAGACATCTGTGTATTTCAGTTCAGCCAGGGAAACAGCCTTCAGCCTCTGGTGGAAAGGGAAAGTGTGCTCCCTGAGGCAGAGGGGGACCTGGCTTGTAGAGAGTGAAGTCCCTGCCCCTGGTCCCTGATTGGTCTGTTCTCATGCAAATGAGGACTCCAAATTCTCTTGCAGTTTGGTCCAAACGGCACTTTTCTGATTGGTCAGTGAAGATGCTGGTGGAGATATAGCCAAACAGCTCCAATTGGATGGGAAAGCTTCAGTCCTAGGATTAAAATGGGATTCTAGGAACTCCTTTGTAAGGGTTGACTCAGACAGTGCAGGCAAGCAGTTCAGTGCAGAGACAGGTAGTTCAGTGCAGGCTTCTCTGTGAAGTGCAGTATTTGTGAGAGGCCCCTGTATAGAAATGGCTGCCAGACTCTTTTTTCAGAATTTGAGCCCAGTTAGACACTAGGAACCCTTCTTCATAGTTATCTTCTTTCCCAGGATCCACATACTTATCTCTAATGCATAGTTATGTATGGCTCTGCTCAGTCGTTGGCTCCCAAACCCAATCTGCTGGTCCAGTGTGTTTATTTCCACACTTACATGTAGATTAAAGCATGTGTAAATTAAAGGATTCTGTGTCCTAGCTGTGCTGTAGATATAAATTATGGGTACTTTTATTTGCTTTCTTTTTATAGTAGTTGGGAGGATGTATGGAGAGATTCTGATTTAGGAGGTTGCCATTATCCTGTGAGAACCTGATTTTATAAGTTAAGAAAATAAAATAACATAAACTTGAAAAAGGATGATAAAACAAAGTAGTAGCAAGGGCTTAAGAAAGATAAAGTAGAAACTAGTAAGTTGCAGAAGTAAAAAAGACTAGCAGAACTGAAACAATTCAAGATCTATAAAGTGGTAGAGAGAGAAACATCAACATTGTTAAGGCTTGTAGTCATTTATCAAAAATTGGCAGAAACACAAAAATCAGAAAAGATAAAGGTGCTATAACACAAATATAGAAGAGATAAAATATATGAAAACAAGGTGTGTGCAAAAATTTGAAAATGCAATAGAGTATCCAATTTTCTAACCAAATGTAAATGATCAAAATTTACTCAAGATGAAAGAAACCATAGCCAGCTTAGAAAAATGTCAACATTATCTACTGTAAAAAGTAACTAAGGCAAGAAATCTTAGAAGGTAATCATATTCAGAAAGCAATAATATACTCTTTTTCTTCATTTTTACATTTGAAGCCATTCTAAGTAATAGTGGAATGGAGAAGCTGGAGCATAAGAAAGAGTCTGTAAGTATAATACATATATGCAAAAAATATCACCATTTAAGTAAAAAATGTATTATGTTACATATTATCAAATGCTTACAGATGGGGGAAAAATAATGTATCACCCTACCAAATCTTACTTATTTTCATGTTTTCTTTCAGATAGGTAAAAAAGAATACATCACCTTACCAGATCTTAAAGATTTTCCTTCACCTCCTTGTCAACCTTACAGTCACTTACAGTCCAATGTGGAGATTCCAGGAATAACTGAAGTCTCTTTACTGCAGATTCGTAGTAAGTATGATGAGCATAAGTACAGATACGATGTACCATAATTACAGATGATTCTGTGAGATAAAGTTAAATGATGTTAATGGGGAATTACTGTATGATGAGCAATGAGTTTCAGTTTGAGAAGTTAAAAAAAAACTTCCTAAGATGGGTAGTGGTGATGGGTGCATAACATTGTGGGTAACTTAATGCCTATACACTAAAAGTGATTAAACTTAAAATTTTAATGCATGTTTTACCACAAAGAAGTTACATTATTTTATATTAATTAGTGCATATGTTTGGTCACTAACATGATTTCTGCATTAAAAAATATGCTCTAAAATTTACATTTTTCATGTAAGATTTAATTACAAATCTTTGGGCCCAAGATAAATTTACTAAAAGAATTAAACCAAGACATATAACTACTTGAGTTTTGTGTAGCTTCACCTGGCTTTACAGATGTATGGGACCTACTATGTTCTTCACATATATGTAAATCCCCTTAGGTATCACTCTTAGAAAGGGAAATGACTCCTCAGAGTTTTCCATAGCAGCAAATACTATATTACAGGAAGAAAAATAGAATTTGGGGTAGAACTTATTTTAAACTACATTTAAGTTTTATACACTATATTTTAGGAAATGAACCATCTTTTAGCTTTCAGACATTGATGAGCATGGGTTATATTTTAGGAATGAAGGCTATCAAACAAATAAAACAAGTAAAGGAAGAAAGAAAGTATCTGCAAAGAATTAAAGAGGAGCTAATAAAAGTTGAAAAGCAGTATGAACAAAGCACACTGAAACAATATCATGGTAAAGTTTATTACATATCTTTTATCACTATAAAAAACTTAAGTTTTATAGAATTTGTGCTTTTTACTATTTACTATTTTACTGTTATGGTTTAAGTGGTATACTTGATATGAGATCAATTCAGATACCATTAAATTACTGTTTAATTGTATTTAATACAATAAATGCAACATGCTTTATGTAGAGTATTTTTTATTAAAATTCAAATATTTTTATAAGGGACATTCATTTATTCATTCTTCTACACATTTACTATATAAGTATTAAGCACTTACTGAATTTGGCCACTGTTCTAGCAGTCGATACTAATAAGTGGGCACAGCCTTGTCCCTGCCCTCAAGAGTTTACAGCCCAACAGGGAAATGACAATCAAGTTAAGCAGTAATGATACGTCCTGATAAATGAGTACTATGATAAAGGAATTACAGAACTCCGTGCAGGAATACAGAGGACGAACACCTAAATTAGCTGGAAGAGATAAGAAAGACATCCAGGAAAAGATGTGCCAGCATCTGAAGTGTGCCTCCTCTTGGATTCAGGCCTTCGGCATGGTTTTCCCTCTGCCATCTACATCTGCTTGTCCTACCTTCTCCTTTTATCCTCTTCTCCCCATTCCAACTGGCTATTTTCTCACTAATCATTCAATCTCAGCTTAAATCTCACTCTAGAAGCCTGGATCACCTTAGTCTCCTCAAGGTGCTTAATTTTTTTATGTGTGTCTGTCTGTTTTGCTAAACTGAATGAATGAAAGAATAAATGAATGAGTGAATGAATAGGAATCAGGTAGAAGAAGGAGGTAGTTTCTTTGCAATAGAAATAGAAACATTATTGTTATAACTGGTAGACGTGGAAAAAATGAGCCAGGGTGAAAAAAGTATAGGCTAATGCTTTGAGAGATGTCAAATGATTTTAGTGTCCTGTGTTTTGGGTTGTACTTGAGAATTATAAGGGTAACAGGTGCATATGGAATTAACAGATTTTAGGATTCTCAATTTACAGCAAAATTATTACTTCATTACTAGAATTGACTGAAGGTTATAGACAATTTCAGGAGACATTTCTGAATGCTCTACATCCTAGTATTGAAATGTTATCTGAAAGTGAAGACAGCGACTCAGCCTTGTTGCACATCAAACAAGCAATTTTATTAGACGGATTCAAGGGATGGACTAGAAATTGAAAGATTGATTGTAGTACCAGATCAATCTTTTACTTAGGCAAGCTACTCCTCTTCTTTGTGCCTCACTCTTTTGATTTATAAAATGAGAATGATCAGTCACTTTCCATTTTAACAGGAACATTTCAAATTAAAGGCATGTATTGGCCATTAAATATTTATGGAGCCTATTATGTGCTTCAGTTCCAGCATTTAAAAAATTTTTATTTATTGATTTTAGAGAGAGAGAGGAAGTGGGAAGGAGAGAGAGTATTCATTGGTTGATTCTTGTATATGCCCTGGCCAGGGATTGAACCTGAAACCTTGGAGTATCAGGATGATGCTCTAAACTGAACTACCCAGCTAGGGTTCCAGCATTGATTTAAAAAATTTTTTTATTCTCACCTAAGGACATGCTTATTGATTTTAGATGGAGGAAAAGGGAAGGAGAGAAACAATGATGTGAGACTCTCCCCGACAGGGGACTGAGCCGATAACCCATGCATATGCCCTGCTGGACAATGCCCAACCAACTAAGCCACACTGGCCAGGGCTCCAGCATTATTTTAACTGCTGAGGATATAGCAATAAATAAATGTGGCCCTTCCTCTAAGGAGCTTGCTTAACAAATAAGACAGTGTCAGCTACTAATTAGAGCTGAGGTGTCAATTGAAAAGAGTGTAGTAAAGAGTGATGGGCAGGAGAGATGCTTTAGCTAGGGTTTCCAAGAGCAGCATTTCTATAGGGAGGTACCATTAAGATTTGATTTTTAAGGAGGCAAGCATGTAAAGAGATAGTGGGGAACAGTAGGAACAAAAGGGATATTAAATGTCAAGGTCTGAAGATAGGAATGAGTTTTCTGTCTTAGGACCTGAAAGAAGGCCGGTGTGGCCGGAGTATGATAACTAAGGAGGAATGTGGAGGGAAATAACAACGAAAGTTCAGCAAGAAGCCCTGGCTGGGTGGCTTGGTTGGAGACTTGTCAGGTACACCAAGAGGTGTCAGGTTTGATTCCTGGTCAGGGCATATACCTGGGTTGTGGGTTCCAGCTCTGCTTGGGGCACATAAGGGAGGCAACTGATCAATGTTTCTCTCTCACGTCAGTCTTTCTCTCTCTCCCTGCCTCTCTCTAAAAAAATCAATAAACATATCCTTGGGTGGTATTAAAAAATAAAAATCCAGCAAGGAACGGATAGGCTGATTCTAGGAATTTGGATTTTATTCTAAGTAAGGTGGGAATCCACTGGAAGATTTTTTTAAGCTAGGGATTTACATGATTTTTAAAATATTTTAGAATATTCAGAATGACTGCTATATGGTAGCCTTTAGAGGGACAAGAACAGAAGCAGAGAGATTAGTTAGAAAGATCTAAGAAAGAAAAGAAAGAAAGGAAGGAAGGAAGGAAGGAAGGAAGGAAGGAAGGAAGGAAGGAGAGAGAGAGAGAGAGAGAGAGAGAGAGAGAAAGAAAGAAAGAAAGAAAGAAAGAAAGAAAGAAAGAAAGAAAGGAAGAAGGAAGGAAGGAAAGAAGGAAGGAAGGAAGGAAAGAAGGAAGGAAGGAAGGAAGAAAGGAAGAAAAGAAGAAAGAAAGAAAGAAAGAAAGAAAGAAAGAAAGAAAGAAAGAAAGAAAGAAAGAAAGAAAGAAAGAACCCTGGCTGGTGTGGCTCAGTGAATTGAGTGCCGGCCTGCAAACCAAAGGGTCAACAGTTCCATTCCCAGTCAGGGCACAAGCCTGGGTTGCAAGCCAGATCCCCCATCGGGGGCATAGGAGAGGCAACCACACATTGATGTTTCTCTCCCTGTCTTTTTTCCTACCTTTCCTCTCTCTAAAAATAAATAAATAAAATCTTTTTTAAAAAAGAAAGAAATGCTTACTATATAAGGTATAAAGATTACATATAGGGCAATAGTTAAAATTTTGAGTTAAGTTCTATGTAGTCGTATAATTTTAATCAAATCACTATATAAAGTATTTTAAATATGATGTTTACATTTTTTTTGATGATCTGAAAAAATCAACATGAACATAATTTGATATTATGTAGCATATATCTAGCATGCAGTTGGTGTTGCTGTTAAGTTTGTAGTTAGAACCTCATCAGGTCCAAAGCAGTTTCCTAGCTGGTAGTGTTGAATTTCTAATTGAGGGTCTCAGGTTTGAGATATCTGATCCACACAATTCTGGGGATATAGGTGGAATAAACTTGATAAAAGATGAATCAGCACCACTAGATATCACAAAACACATCATCTTGAGGTCTGAAAAAGACTAAGGAAAAATTAGAAAAAGTATGTTATGCCTCTATCTTTCAAAATTATAAATAAATTTTCCATAATCCAATCAGATTATGGTATAGTAATCAAAATAAAAATTATGTGCATTTTACTATATATAATATTTTAAATAAATATTTCCCAGAAATAATTATAAGCTTAAAGAAAAACTTGGTCATGGATTTTGGCTATGTTACTATTTCACTATATTTGTAGATAAATACTTTTATTATTTATTATTTAAGAAACATTTCTCTCTTAGCTCTAATTTTCTCAGCATATAAGAAAGGGAGGGGAGGGAATAGAAGAGTTTAAATTAACTCTAGGATCCCTTTTACATTTAACAGTTTAATCCTTTAGTCAAACTCAAACTACATCCTTTGCTTTTTTTTTATAGCTTGTGATAATTCGAAATAAAAATGCTTTGAAACAAAGAAAGTGACAACATCACTGGAGGGGGTTTTAGTAAAATTTCCAGAAGATTTAGAACTCTACTATGCTTATGCAGTAGTAGAGTTCTGCTCATGCAGCTTAAAGCCAGGGAGGTCAAGATGAGACCGAAGAATATGGCAAACATCACAAACTCTAAGGTGCTACTAAATGTGCTCATATTCCATTAGAGAAATTCTATTTAAAATGTTTGCTTTATAATTGTTAGTATTATTATATTTAGGATGCTTTGGGCTGCAGATAAACCTTGACTCAGACTGGCTTAAACAAAAAGAAAATGCATGATGCTAAGGAGATACAATCACCAGTGTAATGATGTCTTTAAATGTCTAGGCGCTTCTGGTACTGGGTTGTATGACTTTGTCCCCTACAGTGGCTCTCATAGCACCTAGTTGTCTTTAGCTTTATTCGAAACAATATTGTTAGACTGTATTGTGATAGCTGTTATATCAGAGGACATTTAAAAAAAAACCTATCAAACTTGATGAACTTTTGTGTAGCCATTTTAATATTGAAGATGGGAGAAAATATGCAACTTTTTACATACTATTTCAAGAAAGGTAAAAACACAATTGAAATGCAAAAAGACTTGTGCAGTGTATGCAGAAGGTGTTGTGACTGATTGAACGTGTCAAAAATGGTTTGTGAAGTTTCATGCTGGAGATTTCTTACTGGACAAAGCTCCACAGTCAAGTAGACCAGTTGAAGTTGATAGCAATCAAATTGAGACATTAACTAAGAACAACCAATGTTATATACCAGGCAGGAGATAGCCAACATACTGAAAATATCCCAGTTAAAAAAAATATTGGTGATAATGAATAAATGTGTCTTTTGTATTATGGAAAAAACATAATGGACTTTTTGGCCAACCCAGTATTTCCTGATTATTTTCAAATGTTTGTTTGGTTACTAAACACCTTTCCCTCATGGTAGCAATAGAGTTGCTAATGGCAAGTAGAGTTATATGCCTCCAAACTAAGAAAGAACCTCTTCCAGACAAATGGAACATACAAAACTTGCCCTTTTGCTTGGTGGGGGATCAACCGGGCCTACTCTGGAATAATAATAGTTACCAGGGAATGCTCTATGCTGACTTAGACCAATTACAAACAACTCTGTCCCTGAGGTTAGGCTTATTTTCTCTGACTCTATGGGAAAGAGATGAACACATGATGAAATACAGTGGGGGACAAACAGTTATTTATTACATTCCTCTTTTATGTGTGGGTAAGTTAATAACATTCATAGAATCTCAAATTATTGATTTTCTAAAGAAATTATTAAATTATATTAAATTTTGTCAATTTATTTTTTCTTAAGATAGTCTTGAGTATTGAAAAATCAGAGACATGAAGTTTATTTTTTTAATTGAAGTAATGGAAGTATAATTTTTTTATATTTCCACCATATAATTAAAGAACAAACTCCAGGAGCCACTTATCTGTTTAATTTTGGTTGCCTGATTCTACTTATCCAAAAAAGTTTTTATATGTTAATCATGATTAAGATTATTGAGTTAACTTTAGACATGATGAAACATTAAAAATTTCAGCTTCTGGTCAAGATGGTGATGTGGGCCAACATGGCTCACCTCTTTGCACAACCACATCAAAATTACAAATAAAATATAGAACAGCCATCACTCAGGAATGTCAGAAATCGAGCTAAATGGAGGCCTGACAACTATGGAATTGAAGAAACCCCATCCATCCAGACTCGTAGGAGGGGTGCAGATGTGGAATGGGCTGGCCCCACACCCATGTACATAAAAATTCTGGAGGGATGTCTCTGGAGTGAGGAGTCCCAGACCCACACCAGGGCCCTCAGCCTAGGATTTCAGGGCCAGGAAGATAACTCTCCACAACTTCTGGCTGCAAAAACTGGCAGGGAGCCCTGGCTGGTGTGGCTCAGTGGATTGAGTTCCAGCCTGTGAACCAAAAGGTCGCTGGTTCAATTCCCAGTCAGGGCACATGCCTGGGTAGTGGGCCAGGTCCCCAGTAATAGGTGTGCAAGAGGCAACTGAGCAATGTATCTCGCACACATCAATGTTTCTCTCCCTCTTTTTTTCTCCCTTCCTTCCTCTCTCTCTAAAGATAAATAAATACATTTTAAAGAACTGGCAGGGATTGAGACAATGGAGGTGGCTGCTGGATCCCTAAGCATTTCCTCTTGGGGAACCCACACCTGGACTAACATACTCAGACTCGCTCCCTGTGAACTCCAGCACTAGGGTAGCAGCTTGAAGGACACCAGTGATATACAAGGAGAGAATGAAGTGTCTGACATCGGGGTGAGCAGGGTCCATTATCCCTTTGCTGAGCCCTCCCCGCTACCAGCCAGTAGGCTGGTGCCATATCTGAGACTCCCATCAACCTGGCTAACACTGTGTGACCTGCTTTGGATATCCATAGAGGCTCCACCCCAACTGACTTACGGGCCCACCCAAGCTGCTTTTCCATAAGAATGGCTGGTCTTGGCTCCTCAATCCTATCAAACAAGCAACAGCTGGCTTTAGTGAGCCCTCATAGCAGCAGCCAGATTATAAAGTCACAACTTGGTGTCACCTGGGAATCTCCAAGCCCAGCATGAGTAGCAACCATCTCAGATTGCTTTATAGCTCAGACAGGGTGCCCCAGGCAAAACAGAGATGAGGGATGACCTTGGCCTGCACCACCTGGGAAACCCCAGGGCCAACACACCCAGTGGACAGCTACAGACCACGTCAGAGCACCACCACCTTGCCCCTGCACAGCTGATCCTTCATGGAGGGTGCAGGTGGGTGGTCAGTGATCAACAGCCAATCCTTGCAGCTGGCTGGCCTGGGTAAATCCCTTCCATTGATCTGCCAACAGCAACCAAGGCTCAACTACAAGAAGAGGGTGTACCCTCAGCCCACATAAAGGGCACACCTTGAGTACATCAAGCTTGAGTGACAGGGGGGGCTGAGCTATTGGACCCTACAGAACACCCACTTCATTAAGGCACACTATCAAGACACGGAGTCAAAACAGATCTACCTATTACATAGAAACAAATAGAAGGAGGCTGCCAAAACAGGGAGACAAAGAAACGTGGTCCAAATGAAAGAACAGATCAAAACTCGAGAAAAAGAGCTAAGTGAAATGGAGATAAGGAATCTATCAGATGCAGAGTTCAAAACACTTGATAAAGATGCTCAAGGAACTTAATGAGCAGCATAAAAAAGATCGAGTTAGAAACAAAGGATACACTAATTGAAATTAAGAACAATTTACAGGGAAGCAACAGTAGAGTAGATGAAGCCAAGAATCAAATCAATGATTTGGAACATACAGAATCAAAAAACAACAATGCAGAACAACAAGAAGAAAAAAGAATCTAAAAAAACGAAGATAGTATAAATAGCCTCTGGGACTGTAAGAGGTCTAACATTCGCCTCATAGGGGTGCCAGAAGAAAAGAAAAAGCAAGAAACCGGAAATCTATCTTAAAAAATAGTGAAAGAAAACTTCTCTAACTTGGTGAAGGAAACAGACATGCGAGTCCAGGAAGTACAGTAAGTCCCAATTATAATGGATGCAAAGAGACCCACTCCAAGATACATCATTATTAAAAGGCCAAAGTTTAGAGATAAAGAAAAGACTCTTAAAAGCAGCAAGAGAAAAGAAGTTAGTTACCAGAAGTTTGCCAGATGGGAGGGGGGGGAGGAGGAGGATGGTGAAGGCGTGAGGGGCCTAAGAAGTACAAATAGGTAGTTATAGAATATCCATGGGTATGTAAAGTACAATATAGGAAATGGACTAGCCAAAGAACTTATATGCATGACCCATGGACATGAACAATGGTGGGGAGATTGCCTGAGGAAGTGGCGGTGCTGGGTGGAGAGGGGCAAATGGGGAAAAAATCAGGACAACTGTAATAGCATAATCAGTAAAATACAATACAAATATTAAAAATTTCCTCATTTAGCCCTGCCTGGTGTAACTGAAACAAAGGATCGGTTCACAGCCTAGTGCCCAACAGGGACACGAAGAACATACATTGATGTTTCTCTCCCTTTTTCCTTCCCTTCCCCTCTAAAGATAAATAAATAAAATCTTATTTAAAAAAAGTTTTTAAAAAATTCCTCATTTATATTTTCCCCATTTTATTTATATAATTGACTTATAGCATTGTATTGATTTAAGGTACACAGCACAATGATCTGATATATGTATATACTGTGAAATGATTACTGCAATAAGTCTGGTTAATATCTATTGCCTTACCATTACAATTTTTTTCTTGTAACCAGAGCTTTTAGGACCTATTTGCTTAGCAACTTTCAAATATACAATACGGTATTGTTAACTCTAGTCATTATGCTATATATTACACCACCAGAACTTATTAACTTATAACTAGAAATTTGTACCTTTTGGCCTCTTCACCTAATTCCCCCATGCCCCACCTCAGGCAACCACCAATCTGTTCTCTGTTTCTATGAATAAAAGTTTACTACTTTATTTTAGCCTCACTTGAGGATACGTTTTTATTGATTTTAGAAAGAGAGGAAGGGGGGAAGCGGGGAGGAGCAGGGAGAGAGAGAGTCATCAATGTGAGAGGGAAACATCGACTGGTTGCCTCCTGTAGGCACCTGAACCAGCAACCTGCAACCCAGGTATGTGCCCTGACCAAGAATCAAACCTGCAGCATGTTGGTGTACAGGATGATGCTCCAATCAACCAAGCCACTTGGCCAGGGCAGATGGTTGCCATTTTAAATAAATTTAATGTAAAATCTAAATAAGCTCAAGTAATGCTTTGTCCATATTAGCTGATACAACTTTTTAGCATATCTGGTAGTATTTATTTAGCTGTTATATCAAATTCAATATATGATAGTTATTTTCATAAAGGCCTCTTAAAATTTTAAATAATTTCTTTGTTGACCATATACTTCATAAACTTTTCAAACAAAAGTAACCAAAAGTGTTCTTATATTAAATAGGTTTACTTGTACTAAATAAGTTTTCTTATATGAAATATACCACTTTATTATTAATTATTTTAAAGTAATGCTAACTCATTCAGCTAATAAAGCATTATGCCAATTTCTAAAGCTTTTCTAATATCTTAAGCATATTTCTTTTGTAGTAATAGTTGGCATTTGTGGTACTAATTTCATGATAATTTTTGCAAATACCTATTTATTTTTATAATACATGAATGATGACAGAAGAACAAAAGAGAAAGCAGCCCCTAAACTGAACAAATCAACAGGTTAATAGTAATTTACTCCAAAGCAATGTTTATTTTATGGAATAGATTTTTTTCATGATTTGCTCTTATGGTTTTTGTTAATCACATTATAGTTAATGTTAGCAAGGCAATTAAAAATTAAAATGTATAGGTGTTATCCTTAATAAAGACATCTTAATATATCTCACACAGAATAACCTTATACTTCAGATCACTGAGGTACAGTGTGCAATTGACCAACTTAAAAATCAGATATTCAGAAAATAAAACTCATTATTGAAGCTAAGGTAATTTTCATTTCTCCTCATTAAATGATAACACTTATCTTGTTGGTGTTTTAACTTTGGGTGTTAATAGCATAAGAGTAGAAAGGATTGACTGTTCTAATATCGTTAGCTTAACAAAGAGCACATGTGAAAAAAATGGAAGAATAACCACTAAATTCTGAAAAGGTGCATGTTAAATCAAGGGCAAAGTAAAATTTAGTAAAAATTCCAGTAAGAATTAAAGGAAAAGGACCCTGTGAATCACTACAAAGGCTCATTAAAATATTTTAAAAGAAGTAGTTTTCAACTTCCGCCAAGATGGAGGCGTAGGTGGAAGGACTGTGCCTTCACATACAACCAAGTTCAAAAACAACAAAGTTTTAGCAACAAAAATGCAGGCAAACCACAGAAAACTGAACTACACGGAAGTCTGACAACAACGAACCCTTCAGCCAAACTGGTAAGAGGGGCAGAGCCAGCAGCAGAGCGGGGTCGGGCAGGAAAGATCCACTGGACAGACCAGAGTACGTGACCCAGGTGCACCAGCAGCCGTGGGTGGATCCCAGGTGTGGAGAAATGGGAGGACCCACTGAGGGCTGACCGAGGTCACACATTCGAGTGCAGATAAACCGGTGAAGGAGCAAAGCACTGAGACAAACCATGCAGGCCCCAGTGGCAGAAAGTGGCAGAGGAGACCGCCGTTGTCCCTCTCTGACCCCGGCCCCACCTACAGCATCACAAACCAGCAACCTGGGTGGCCTCTCTCTGACACACCCCCACCTTTAGCATCACAAACCAGCGACCTGGGTAGCCCCGCCCTGGTGAACACCTCGTATGTAATGGGCACGAACAGATCAAAACAGGGCTCAAGAACAACTCAGAGCCCCAGAGCTGATAAATCTAAGTGATGAAGAAATAGCCAAACTTTCAGATACACAGTTCAAAACACTGGTGATCAGGATGCTCACAGAACTGGTTGATTATAGTCACAAATTAGAGGAGCATATGAAGGCTAAACTAATTGAAATGAAGGGAAATACACAGGAAACCAATAGCAATGGAAAGGAAACTGGGACTCAAATCAAAGGAGTGGACCAGAAAGAGGAAAAAAAATGACCGAACAGAAAAGGATGAAGAAACAAAAATTCAAAAAAATTAGGAGAGGCTTGGGAACCCTCAGGAGATCTTTAAACATTCCAACATCCGAATTATAGGGGTACCTATAGAACAGCCATGAGTGGAACACTTATTTGAACAAATAATAAAGGAGAATTTCCCCAATCTGGCAAAGGAAATAGACTTTCAGGAAATCCAGGAAGCTCAGAGAGTCCCAAAGAAGTTGGACCCAAGAAGGAACACACCAAGGCACATCATAATTACATTAGCCAAGATTAAAATGAAAGAGAATTCTAGAAGCAGCAAGAGATAAGGGGACAGTCACCTACAAAGGAGTTCCCATCAGACTGTCAGTGGATTTCTCAAAAGAGACCTTACAGGCAAGAAGGGGCTGGAAAGAAGTATTCCAAGTCATGAAATCCAAAGACCTACATCTAAGATTGCTGTATCCAGCAAAGCTTTCATTTAGAATGGAAGGGCAGATAAAGTGTTTCTCAGGTAAGATCAAATTCAAGGAGTTCATCATCACCAAGCCCTTATTATATGAAATGTTAAAGGGACTTACCTAAGAAAAAGAAGATAAAAAATATGAACAGTGAAAGGACAGCAAACTCACAGTTACTAAGAACCACACCTAAAACAAAAACAAACTAAGAGAACAGCTATATCAGGAGCAGAACCATAGAAATGGAGATCAATCACATGGAGGGTTAGCAACAGGGGAGTGTAAGGAGGAGAAGGGGGAGAAGGTACAGAAAATAAGTAGCATAGACGGTAGGTAGAAAATAGATAGGGGGAGGGCAAGAATAGTATGGGAAATACAGAATCTAAAGAACTTGAGACACGTGGTCATAAACTAAAGGGGGAGAATGGTGGGGGAGGGGTGTGCAGGGTGGAGGGGAATGAAGGGAGGAAATGGCGTAATCAATAAAATATATTTTAAAAAGTAGTTTTCATGTGCTAGAGTCATTCATGAATAAGTTTGACTTGTTTAAATTTAATTTCATTTAATTTCCCCCTCTCTTGGGTAATTATCTCACTTTCTGCAGTTATTTTCATGTATATACTTGTATGAATGCTCTCACTTCACCTCTTTATCAGAAATAGCTTGATGATGGAATAATGACCCCTTGCTCAATTCAGCACCATCAGAGAGAGAGCTTTCTGTGATGTTGGACATGTTCCATACCTGCACTGTCCAGTATGGTACCCACTAGCCACATAAGGATATTGAGTACTTGAAATATAGCTTGCTGGATGACTAAGGAGTTGAGTTTCAAATTTTATTTAATTTGAGTAGGTTTAAATTTAAATAGCTACATTTGGCAAATGGCTGCTATACTGCACAGCACAGTACTCGATTGTTTTCACTACTGGCATTCTCGGGGCTAATCCCTGGCTCAGCATTGAGAAGGTTAAAACTTAAAATATAGAAAAAGAAAAGGGGAAAGGAGCATTTTTAAGTAAACATGAATATTTAGCATTATTATACAGTATGTACTCAAAAACTAATTGGTTCAATGAATGAAACTTTGTATATTCAAAAAAACAGAGAGAGAGCCAGTGTGGAAACTCGTGCCCTCACTGGTGGTTGGGTGGGTAAGAGAAAGTAACAGAAATGCCTCCAGAGCCTTCAATCAAGAGTCTAAATGTTCTCTTCTTTTGGAAAGTATGCACATTAGATCTTGTCATCTTAATGTATTTTTACCCTATAAATATCAACTATGAATGGTTTTAACCCATATTAGAATTTCTAGCACACACAAAAAAAAGAGGAAAAACTAATAGAAAAAGAGAACAAGTTTTTGGCTTACAGATGGGGGGGTGGAAATTCTACATTTAACCATAGTGCCTAATTGACACATAGTAGACATTATTATTATTTATTATTAATTTACCTCAAACTTACCTATAAGATTCAGAACTAAGCGGCAAAACACCTAGCCTGAGTCTGTTGCAACCATATTCGAGTTGGTATGGCGTAAGCAGTGCTTCTCAAAGTTCAAAGTGAAATCACCTGGGTTTGCCTTAACAGTTCTGGGGTGAAGCCTGAGAGCCTTCATTCCTAAGAAGCTCCCAGGTGATATGTATGAAGGCTTCGGTTCACGGACAGTACCTGGAATAGTGAGGGCTGTGGGCTGTGGCACCAGACTGGTTTGAGTTGAAATCCTGGCTGTGCCACTTACTAGTTCTGTACATGGAGTGAGTTACTTAACTTCTAGGCATCTCAGTTTGCTCAACTGTAAAAGGGGGATAAGTAGTAGTATCATCTGTCTCAATGACATTTTTGGTAGAATCAAAGAGATTAATTCACTTAGAAGAGTGGAATAACACTACTGTATTATGCTTCTTAACTGTTTAGTTTCTCAGGACTGGAAATTAAGGTTTTTTTGTAATTATGTTTTTTTTAACTATTTCTTTTCAGTTTAAAACAAATTTTGAAGCTTTAGCAAAAGATAAAAATTGTTTCGCTTTAGGTTTTTTAGAACAGTTTAATTTTATTATGACTATGTTATTAAATAAAATTATTTGATAGGTTACCTAGCAGTAAATAAGCAGGACTTTTGACCTATAAGTTTAACCTAGTAATTTGGTGCAAGTGAAGGCATTAAAGGGAAATGAAAGAAGACAGTTAAAACAGTCACAAAAAAACCTTCATTCAGATGACAATTATGTAATTTTAGATGGGTAAATATGAAAGATAATTCATTTTATAGATGAGAAAACAAGCAATTTTAGATGTATCCACACTGAAAGCTGAACTGACACCGAGTAAAATTAATACATCTTTACAGCTTCAATTAGGTATGTAAAATATTAAATATTTATTTGATCAGATTTGTTTAACCTTTGTTCTCCATGGCAATATTTTATGCAAATCATAAAGTCCATATTTTTCACCAAATCCTTTGGTAATACAAAGGATTTCAGGAAACAGATGTATAAAAGTAAAATGATGTCCATTTGGTTATTTTTAAATAATCTTAAAATGTAGTAGCTAATATGACTAAATATGATTAAAATCACATTCTTAATAAATAGGAATATATTTGCATATAAATACTGTTTAATTTATTCATTGTACTTTAATTAAAAGTAACCTGGAAATACAAAAGAATAGGGATATTGAACTTGCATTCAGACTTATGACAGAGTTTAGTGTCTAAGAATTTAAATATTTTAGTAACTATATAAGACACTAGAAATTCAGCAAATTGTATGGTTTGCTGAATAACAAAGTGGTTGTTCTTACACTGCCATAACAACTGTGTAAGTAGGAGACGGGATATTCTCCTAACAGATGCCTGGACCACCATTTATTTCAGTTTAGAGGGGGAATGTGCAGGGAATGCAGGATTTGTGTAAGTCCAGCGTTCAAGGATACAGACTTTTAATTTACGTATTTAAAGGAACTAATAAAGTGCACACAATGTTCTTCCTAATTGCCTTGAGAAAAGGAACATTTAGAAAGGTTCTTTGCACAAAGTATCTCTTTTAGAAAGAGAAACTGCTTGAGAAAACCATATAATGCAGATACATAAAAATAAAAATTTAACCATGAAAAGAAAACTAGCCAAGAAGTAAAGTATACGTGTCCATAAGTAAAGGGAATATTAGTAACTGGAAGGGCAAATGACAGCAGATGAAGGGGACATGACAAGGGGTAGAATCAGGGTCGACAGCAAGCTTTTCCCATTGTAAAATATCAGATATAACCACATACAAAAAATGTCATCCATAACTACATGTAAAAATTTAGTCAGAAAATAATAGGTAGGTCTAACCTAGTAATTAAAAATATTACTAAATTATCTTCTTGTACTTTGTATTTTAATCTTTTATATTCTTTCCCCTCCCCCTCCAGTGGTTTGAGTTTAACTCATATGCCTCAGAGGGCACGAGTGCCATATGGAGTCAGGAAAATTATTTACAGCAGTTTGATGAACCTAAAGAGGAGGAGGAATTGCAGGGTTTAAGGTCAGATTTATTGAAGAAAAAAGTACAAAGTAAACTGCTTCTTAAAGCCTAGGTTTTAAAAAAAACTATGCTAAGCAAATATTTTCACTTCAAATTACATATATTTAAAAATTAGCATTTATTTGTAAGCATACATGTTAATATTAAGGGGAAAACTTAGCATAATAAAATTTTGAAAGCAGTAGTTCCTAATTATAGTATTAAAGTATCTTATAGAGGAATAATTAATATAGTATGTTGACTTATTTCTTACCTTTATGTTGCTGGATAATTAAGATATCTATATATCTTTCAAATACAACCAATCAAAGTATCTCTTTATTCTCTGTCTGGTTTTGATTATACTGATAAGTAACATATAGATACACGACAAAAAAGTATAAATTTTTTGACTCTTCAAGAAACCGGATCTGTTTACATAGATCATTTTCTAAATCTTAAGTTTGACAAAAGATGTGCATGTACATCACAGCTTCGGTTTTAAGGCTTTCCACATTTCTTCAGTTTGCTGTTTGGCTGCAGCATCTCCAGAGTAGTCAAGAGAGTTGGCATTCCACATGCCAACGCCCCGTAAGCCACGGGTTTGTGTATATGTTGCCTTTAAAGAAACGCTCTTCGGGTTATCATACCACACTTGATGAAAACGGCCAGCAGAGTCCTGGACAAATAAATGAAAATGTGAATTTTAAGTATGCAGTACAGTAAGAGGGGAAGCATTTCTTAATTTCAGGGATTCAAAAAGGATACAATGAATAATAAAAATTTAAGGGCACAACATTTTCCAGCTCTGTGACTTCAAGGTTCTTAATGTGAGACTCTGTAGATATCATTGCTTGGGGCACTTTTACAACAATGGAGATTATACAAATAAGCCTCCTAATGTCTTGTATTTAAGGTCTTTTTCTTACCTAAAATTCCTTCCTTGCTCTAATCTGATGATTAAAAAGTACGAATTCCTGGGACACATACCACATGATTACCTACTGAATCCAAACTTTCCAGGAGTAGTACTCTGATAGGTTTTCGTCTGTTTTGCGTTTTATGTTCCATTAGGTTAGCAGGATACGCACCCCAGGCTAAAGAGGATTACTGCTGTGGTTCTCTGAATCCAACTTACACTCTTTTTTTGCATTCCCTACAGTTTCTAGTTAGGACCTCAACTGATGCTTTTGCTTATGATGAATTAGTCAAATCAAAAGGAGGTAATGACAATACACAAGGAAAGTAACTCCTCTTCTAGGTCTTACAGCACTCACCAAAGAGCCTGTCAGATCGGCACTCCATGGATGCCTCATGCACACGAACCATGAACTAGAAAATACTGTCATGGTCACCTTCCACCCTGTAAAGCCCTCCTCTCCAACAGTTATCCCGTCTGGTACAAAGAGTCCCTTTTACAAGGTATCTCATTGATTGGATAAAAGATAAAGGAAAGTAGAAAGGAGCAGATCTAGGCAAAAAGGTAGAAAAAGGGGAAAATAGGAGGTAAAAAAGAGAATAACCTGTGACTTAAAATAATTTACTGATTTTTATATACATCTGGGAAAAAATTTTAAAGGCAGTTCTCCACTAATTCCAGTAACATCTTTTTTATGGTAGCACCACTGGAATTAGAATGGTTTCCTCAACATGACTACACCAAAGGACAATAGTCACTTGGTAAATAAATAAACTACGGCATATTTAAGTATAGTAGACTCATTACATACAAGTATATTCTATACTATATCTTATATCCTGTTCTTTCAAATATTTAGAACTTAAAAGCCATGCATGTTCTAGTAACAATTGTGATTCATCATTTAAAGGCAACTTGAAGAACTTGTACGTAAATATAGAAATATTTCTTTTTGAAGATTTAGGAACAAATCCAAATACCTGTATCTTTGAATTTTCCATTATTCTGGCTAGTAATTTGAGCATTTTTGACACTATTAAGAAATTTCAAATGCCTCAAAATAGTGACTGATCGAAGGATAAAAAAACAAAGCATATATAACATTGATATATGCTTGGTTAAGGCATAAGTGCCTTCAAGAATATTAAATACCAAGATGAAGCTACTGTTGCTGAGACAGCATAAGAAGGCAGAATGATTCTCTACAGTCACACTGGAAACTTAATTTTGGCTGCTACAAATTTTACAATGAATAAAAAGGGGAACAAAAGAGGTGTAACTAGATTGTTGTCTAAAGTGCCTGTGAATGAGTGGCCTTCAAGGCTCCTCAAAATGTTTCCCGAATTCTAAGACCCTAAAGAATGTGTCTCCTTATTCATTAAGGAAAACAATAAGTTAGGAATTCAAAGATACTACATTACAATGTCAACTGTTATTCTGTATTACATATTTCTAAATTATGTATAATTGGTTACAAACAGCCTTTATAAAACTGATATCCACAAAACACTTGTCCCCCTACGTGTTTCTAAGAGTGCTGGGAAATGAGGTTCTATGTTAATTAAATGGATTATGTACTGCAGCACCTCTCAAATCCTTTAATATGATGTACATTTTAAATCTCCAAGAGGGACATAAAGTGTGCGCTGTTTTCCAAATATATTTGCCCATAGTGTGTGTGTATGTTTGTGTAATATTAGAGTTCCCAGAATAGAGTTCCGTAAATACTGTTTGGCAAAGACAGGGTTACAGGATGCCGTAGTTTAATTACTAGGCATGTACACTAGATGCTAAAGTTTAGAAAACTTTACAGTAAAGCTTTCTATATAATTGATATACAGGCATGTATAGATTTAAATACATCGTAATTTATTAAATATGTATATTTGCAGTCATTTTTTAATTGGAATACCAGACAATTTGTTAAAAATATTCTGTCCTGGCTGGTGTGGCTGAGTGGATTGAGCACTGGCCTGTGAACCAAAAGGTCACTGGTTCAGTTCCTGATTAGGGCACATGCCTGGGTCGTGGGAACAGACCCTCCCGGGGGTGTGTACAAAAGGCGACCGATAGATGTTTTTCTCTCTCTCTTTCTCCCTCCCCTTCCCTCTCTCTAAAAATAAATTTAAAAAATATTTTAAAAAATAGATATCCTTACTAGAATTAACTTCAGTCATATCATTTTAGGGTTCCTTTTATAGTAACATAAATCCAAAGTGAATTCAAATATAGTCTGTACTTAGATTTGTAAGGTGTGAGCAGTTCTTATTATGCTAAAGGTAAATTACAAAAAATACAACTTCTTTGCCTCTTTGGCAATTGCTATTTATCAAACACTATCTGGCAGAATTGCTGACCATTCACTATTTCTTCAGGTCTGTCTGTAATATTTCTCAGTCTCTAATTTTAACATTGTCTTTCATTTGTCTAATATCACATAGTTTGACTGAATTGTGACATTAACTTGACATGATGCCCTTTCCTATTGTCAAGTCCATGATGGTGCATCTCTTGCTCTCAGCCTCACTGGCTTCCTGTATCGGACCCTTATCAGAGTGTTTCTCTACTTTGAAATGGAGGCTTTCAGAGCCAGCCACCTGTTTTGGCCCAAAGCTCATTAGAAACCATAGTCATTATACATATTTGTCAATTATTAAGGAAATCTTATTTTTTTAATCCTCACCTGAGGGCATTTTCTCACTGCTTTTAGAGAAAGAGGAAGGGGAAGAGAGAAACACCACTGTGAGAAACATCTTTTGGTTACCTTCCATACATGTCTGGACTGGGGATCAAACCTGCAGCCTAGGCATGTGCCCCACATGGAAACTTGGGAATCGAACCCACAACTTTTGGCTATGGGACAATTTCAATTAATTGAGCCACACTGACCAGGGCAGTAATCCTGCTTGTGATAGGCATGTTTTTATTACACCACCCACAATGACAAGTGTCCCGTGCAGAGAAGTTCCACAATGACCATAACTTGAACTGCTCACAGGGAAGTAAAGTTAATGTTTACAGATTTAAAGACAAGTTCACTCCTGTAAACAGCAGCGTGGCCCTGGCACCATCCCACAAAGTGAAAGGTCACCAGTTCAATTAAGGGTCAGGGCGCATGCCTGGGTTACAGGTTCAGTAACTGGGTGGGGTGTGTACTAAAGGCAACCAATCAATGTTTCTCTCCTCTCTTTCTCCCTTTGCCTCTAAATAAGTAAGTAAATAAGTAAGTAAAATCTTTCAACAACGGTCTCTATGTTGTACCTTAAAAGAAAACTGATAAAAAATCTGCATATCAAATACACAATATGCAACTTCAAAAACTAATAGAAATAAATGTTCATAATTTGTGAAAAGTCTTACTTTATAGTTATAATATGGAGACTTTTGATTTTCATCCCACAGGATTCCAGAAATAGAACTGTTCACTTGCTTCATAATTATTTTATAGGGCACCTGCCGCCCTGCTGCATCACTACAAGGAGCCCCCCGGAACGGGACTTTTGCAATGGTGCAAACATGATCCTAGAAATACAGAAATGTTCATGTTATCGATTATCGATTAAGCATATGTTAAAAACGAAATCAGAAATCTATTTATTAGAAAAATATGTACCATAAATACATATCCTGTCTATACAGTATAAAGGTAAAATTTCATTTTTAAGTGAAAATACAAAACACTCAGAAACTTTTATGGGATTCAATAATTAAACTCTCTTGTTTGGTCTCAAACTTATTTCAGAAATTCTAACGTTTGCATACTCTCTATATAGAATAGTTTATAAATTCCAAATAGAGTATATATTATATATATATATATATGAATCCAAGATATAAAATACAAAGGAAGGACAAAAAATTACATAAGAGATGAGCTGTTCTTACCTCTGACAAAGTCAGGCAGGTATAATCATAACCATACCAGGGAAGACCCATTACAAGTTTCTTGGGGTTAATGCCCATCTTGATGTAGTCATCATATGCTAATCAAATAGGGACAGAAAAGGCATATTTTTTCTCTTCATATGTCTATTAATATGTTCATACAAGCTATGCAGCTGCTCAGAATCTAAATTTATAAAAACAGGTACATTTATGCAAAATATTGGCACAGTGTTTCTTTAATATTCTGTAAGTCATCCCTTAAGAACTATAAACTATAAATCATTTTTAAACCCTTTCTTTTGAATAATAAAAACATTGAGAACAATTAAGTTCAAATTGATGCAAAAATTACAAAATTACAAAATTTAATTCTAGGAAGAATGACACATTTCAGGAAAGCATGATGATTGTGTCTATTAACTGCTAAGATATATATTTGATATTCCAGATCCTAAAGTTTTGATAAAGCTCTATAAGTCTTAAAATTTCTGTCCAGGAAGGTCTCAGAATTTCTTAGAGAAAGCACAAGTGTTCCATGATGTATAAATATCCTAAAAGGGTGAATTACAGCTGGGGATGAGAAATGTCACCCCCTTACTCTGTATTACATAATCTGTAGTTACAGAAACAAAGAGAAAAATAAACAAATTACTAGTACTATCAATCTCTAAATGCTCAATGCTATAAAATACGTTTTCCTACCAAGAGAAGTTTCAAGACTATGTAGAATGTTAAGTAAACTTGGTACTTTTCAGAGCCTTTAGTTATTGTGTACCATTAAATATCTAAGATATGGGTGGGGTATATATCATTTCCCAAATATATTTGGTTATGAACCTTTTATTAATAGAACATAATTACCATCTTTTTGATGAAACAGAGTTTGGGAACACTAGAGTAGTTGCTTCCTAATTGTAACGGTTACATTATTGGTCAAATTTTTGAGAGTATGTGCTTGTGATCAGACTATCCTTTCCAAACAATTATGACATGATAAAATGAGGCCAGGTTGTAAGGTCTTACCTCCATATGAAAAAGAAGGATTTTTTAAATTTATTTACCAAACAACAACTTAGTGCCAACTATCAGAAAATTTCCCTTGAATCCATAAGATAACAGGAACCTTTTATTCAATTGGCTGATGGAGTACAAACTAATCCAAACTTTGGAAGAGATAATACAAAGACTGCATCATATGGATGAGAGGAGGTACTCTTAATTTTAATGCTATACAGGTATACCCTCTTTGCTGCATTGAAAAGAAGTTGCTTGTTTTACAAATTAAAGACAGACTGTCCAACCACAAAATGACTACGACTTGTTTTACTGTGACACTGGCTTTACTGCGGTACCCAGGATGGAGCCCACAGCATCTCCTGGGTATGCAGGTAGTTTGTAATACAGCATGTGTACTGATGGCAAATGTCAAAGAAGGTAAAGCCAATCCTATCAATCATGTATAGAAAGTATTTGCATCATAACTCTCTTTGCTATTAAATTAACATTGGATATTTCAACAAAAATATATTGTCAGATTCTAGATAAGCAAATATCTTCATGTGACTTTGAGGGAAGTACGTTGACTTGAAGTTAAAACACTTTCCTGAGTTTCAATTACGTGACACTTAATGGCCATGCAATCAAGATAACTTACTTTTCATCTCATCTGTATTACTTAATAAATGACACACTTATCCCACAAGACTTTCAGAAGAATAAGTGAAAACTTTAAAACTTATTGTAAACTTTAAAGCTCTCCAAATTAAATGCCTTTTTAAATGTTTCAAGAAAGCTTTACATTTGGAAAACATATACAGATGACTTAGAAATATTAGTGTTAGATTATGAAATTAATATCAGTAATGAATGATTATTTGGTGTACCTTACCAGTCAATGTCTGATTATAGGGAGCATTGGCTGCTGCGATACATTCTGACCAGACCTGACTTTGTTCATCATAAGACATCACAAAGAGGAAGTCACAAGCATCTGCAATTCCAGTATAATTATAGCACCTTCTGTCTATGCACTTTGGAGACCAAGCTACATCAAAGGTTACCTGCGGAGAAATGTATACCATTTTGTTTAGATATGCATATCATATCAGATGTTTTGTTGATCACATATTCTCTGTCTCATACAACCTAAGACAACAGAACTGCTTTCATATATGAATGTAGGGTTTAACTCATGTAGAAGTAGAACAGTTCTAAGAAATATGTTTTTTACCTACATGGACTCAGACATATATTTGGACAATGCTTGTTATTACATTTGGATAATGGACATACATTTGACCCAGACATATTTGGACATATACAATGACCAGGAGCAGAGAACTGTGTAGAAGGGGAGTTTTAAGCTCAAATGTCTTCAGAAGTTACACTGGAAACTCACAGATTGAAAGGAATAGGTGTAATGACAGTAAGGTGTGGTCGGGGCCTTAAGCAACTGGAAAATGAAAGCAGTACTCTAAAAGACTTCAAAAACAAAAGTTTTTCTTTTAAACTGTGCAGGCTAAACTGGCCATATGTTGGCACAAGCTGACTGGCCAGTGTTGGCGATCTGAGCCCCTGACTTACAATGACATCATTGCGGTAGGTTCGTTCCAACATTACAGTTAAAGAATAGTGGTGTTTTATAGCTATGGGGACAAGTAATCAACTCAAAATGTTGAACAAATCACTTTAATGGTCTAATTTTATGGAAATATTTTAATAAAAGTACAGTGATAAATTATCTTTCATTTTGAATGGTAAGCCAGTCTTCTGCAAGTCTCTCTACCTTAACCAAATAGTCATTGCTTTATTTTATATGTGTGCAAATAATCTAAAGTTGCATTAAAAGTTCTTAATTAGGCTCTCAGTAAACCCATTGATTAATTATTACAAATAATTGAGATACTTCAGTTAAAATTCTTACACTTTGGCCAGTTTATTCTAGTCTTACTTTTTTAAAAACTTTCCTCAAACTTCTCTCTTAATTCTCTAAATGGTATCACTAAGGAAAGCTCTGCTTTACTGAAATTAAAAGCTTATAGGTTATAAAGTAAAATTTTTACTTACTGGACCCTGTTTTATCACTGCTTCATATTACAAAATAGGAGCTATCCTATTGTAAAGGAGAAACTCATTTCCTCCAAGCAGGTAAATTTCAAATCAATTTTGTAAGCCCTTATCTCTCATCTGAGCATTAATATTTTCACCTGGATTTCATGTCATAGTTAATCTCATATTTTTAGAAGGCAGTATTAATATTTTAGACAAATCAAAAGTCTTTGGTTCTAGTCTTGGCTCTATTATAACTAGGTTTGTGTAGCTTTAAGTATCTAAATCTGTGTTCCTAACTATAAAACAAGGGTGTAGAAAGAACACTTCAGGAGCATTTCTGGCTCTTTAATTCTGTAACCACATTTCTGTAATCCTAAATTACCATCTGTTCCCAAAGTACACTTCAGCTTCCAGACTCTATTTCAGTCATTTTGACTTCTGCTGACTAGAAAAGAACCTTTTCTGACTCCTCTTTCCTATACCTCATACTAATCTCACATTTTCTTTTGGGCGGCTTCTCATAATTGTTCTTCCCTTTCCTTTCCATTATTTAATTAACTCAATAAACACTTATTGAACACTGGCTGAGTGGTAGGGTCAAGCCATCATCCCAATCCAAACCATAAATCCCATTATTCATTGTATTATTGGGTTAGTCCTTACTGGTCTCCCTTTCTCCTCTAGACTATTTTACATACTGCTATAGAATATCCTTCTCCAAACATTTTCTACACATGTAACCTGTTACAGAATAAAATGCATATTCTTCCACCTGACACTCTTGATCTTCCGCAATCTGGCCTACTGGGCAACTGTGCCTCCCACTAATTTCCTTAACATGAACGTGACATAAAAGCCCAAATTGTTCTACTTGCCCCTCAAACATGGAAACAGTTTCCTCAATCTCTTTCTCCTTGCCTCTCACTGCAGCTTAATAAGCACGAGCAAATAGGTTATCTTTTGCACACACCAATTCTAATTTATTAATAACAGCAGTGTAAAGAATGAGACTTTGAGACCTAACTATGTGAGGAGAGTACTGGCAGCCTGCATACCAGATACTTGCTGTTCTTGATCTAAATGGTATTCATCTGCAAAGCTGATTTCCACACTGACAAACATCCCTTACCTGCATAAAGCCACAGATAAATCCTTATATCATTTTTATGAATTTTTCAACAATTCTCAAATTCATGTTGACCAAATATGCTGGAATAACCTAGTACAACTTGATAAAAATACAGTTCCTAGCCTCTATTCCAGACCTACTGAATCAATCACTGGGCATATTTTTAATAAGTACCACCAAGTGGTTCTGAGATAGGTTTAGAATCACTGCTTCATAGTACGTATACAATATATAATATAAAATATATTTGATGTATATATGTATTTTTTAGTTAACTAGATTTTCTCTTTGGGACAGTTCACAGATTTACATGTCATTCTTGCACAGCAACCATGCTAATCGCTGTGTTGTTCTAATTTTAGTATATGTGCTGCCGAAGGGAGCACCCTGCACTGGATTTTAAATTTTTGAAGGGCAGGTATCCTTCATTCATTCAGTAAACAATGTTTCATTCCTGAACATTGTGTTAGACATGTTAAGGGAGTTGGTCCCTGTCTTCAAAAAAGTCATGGTCTACACTTAAAATCTATGTTTTTAGCTTTATTGAAGTATGACTGACAAAACTGAAATATATTTAAAGTGTACAATGTGATGATTTGATATGCATCAATATTCTGAAAGGATTCCCATCATCAAGTTAATTAATGCATCCATCATGTTACATATTTACTTTTTAATTGGTGATAGCATGTAAGTTCTACTTTATAAACAAATTTCATTTATACAATACAGAATTATTGACTACAGTCACCATATTATATAGTAAATCTTCAGACTTTATTAATTGTTTAATTGAATGCTTATACCCTTTTACTAGCCTCTCATTTCCACCAGCCCCTGACAGCCACCTACTCTCTGTTTCTATTTGTTCAAATTCTTTTTTAGATTCCTCACACAAGTGATACCATGCAGTATCTGCCTTGATCTACCTGACATATTTCCTTGAGCATAATTCTGTCCAGGTTATTCAAGTAGTCACTAATGGCAGATTTCCTTCCTTTTCTCCTTTTAAAAACTCAGCTAACATTCCAGTGTGTGTGTGTGTGTGTGTGTGTGTGCATATGTGTGTGTGAGATCATATTTTCTTATCCATTAATCTGTTGACAGACATTTAGGCTACTTTCTACCATTGCTGTTATGACTAATGCTGCAGTGAAGATGGGAATATTGATATCTCTTTGAGATAGTGATGCGGCTTTCTTTGGGTATATGATGTGGGATTCCTGAATTATTTACTAGTTCTAAGTTTCTTGAGGAACTGTTTTTCTTAGTGGTTATACCGGTTTACATTCCTACCAACAGTAACATGGTTGTATGTTTATCAAAATGTATCCATTTGTTCTAAGTTATATAATTTATTGGTGTATAATTGTTCATAATGGTTTCCTATGACCCTTAGGATGTCTGTTTCATCAGTTGTAACGTCTCTTCTTTCATTAGTGAGTTTCATTATTTGAGTCTTCTTTTTTCGAAGCTAAAAATTTGTCAACTTTCTTTCAAAAAAACCCAGCTTAGTTTCATTTATCCTTTCTGTTGTCTTTATAGTCTATTTCATTTGTTTCCACTCTTCTCCTTCAATGTATTTCATTGATTATGCGATTACAGTTGTCCCATTTTTTTCTCCCCTTTATTCCCCTCCACCCTGCACCTCTCCTCCCACCAGCACCCTCACCCCTTAGCTCATGTCCATGGGTCATACATATAAGTTCTTCAGCTTATCCATTTCCTATACTATTCTTAACCTGTCCCTGTCTATTTTGTACCTACCATTTATGTTTCTTATTCCCTTTACTTTTTCCCCCATTCTTCTCCCACTCCTCCCATCAATAACCTTCCACATGATCTGCATTTCTGTGATTCTGTTCCTGTTCTAGCTGTTTGCTAACTTTGTTTTTAGGTTCTGTTTTTGATAATTGTGAGTTTGTTGTCATTTTACTATTCATAGTTTTGATCTTCTTCTATTTCTTAGATAGGTCCCTTTAACATTTCATATAATAAGGGCTTGGTGATGATGAACTCCTTGAACTTGACCTTATCTGAGAAGCACTTTATCTGCCCTTCCATTCTAAATGAAAGTTTTGCTGGATAGAGCAATCTTGGATGTAGGTCCTTGTCTTTCATGACTTTGAATATTTCTCTCCAGCCCCTTCCTGCCTGCGAGGTTTTTTTTGAGAAATCAGCTAATAGTCTTATGTGAACTCCTTTGTACATAACTGTCTCCTTTCTTCTTGCTGCTTTTAAGATTCTCTCCTTATTTTTAATCTTGGCTAATGTAATTATGATGTTCCTTGGTGTGTGGTTCCTTGGGTCAAACATTTTTGGGACTCTGTGAGCTTTCTGGACTTCCTGGAAGTCTACTTCCTTTGCCAGATTGGAGAAATTCTCAAATAAGTTTTCAATTTCTTGCTCTTCCTCTTCTCCCTCTGGCCCCCTATGATTTGGATGTTGAGACGTTTAAAGTTGTCCTGGATGTTCCTAAGCCTCTCCTCGTTTTTTTTGAATTCTTATTTCTTAATTTTGTTCTGGTAGAATATTTATTTTGTCCTTCTTGTCCAAACTATTAATCTGAGACCCAGTTTCCTTCCCATTGCTGTTGATGCCCTGTACATTTCTTCTCATTTCACTTTGCATAGCTTTCACTTTTTTCTTCCATTTCGTGACCATACTCAACCATGTCTGGGAGCATCCTGATTACTAACATTTTGAACTCTAATCTGATAGGTTGGCTATCTCTTCATTGCTTAGTTCTATTTTTGGAGCTTTGATCTGTTCTTTCATTTAGGCCATATTTCTTTGTCTCCATGTACCTGTTACAATGTAAGGGGTGGAGCAACCCATGCTGCTGTGTGGCACTGTATATGGCAGAGGGTCCAAGAGGGAACAATGCTGCTTGCTCGGCTCTCAACCAGCTTTCAGTCACTTCTCACATTACCCACAAGCAAATGGGCCCTTCTGGTGCTGATTCCAGGGTGGGTGGGTTTGTGTACATTTTAGAACCCTGTGGGTCTCTCCAATGAACTTCGTGTGAGGCTGGGACTTTCTCCTGCCATTGCAAGACCACAGGTTATTACAGCCAGAGTTTTTGAGGCTTTATTTCCCCATGCTGGAACCGTGGGAAAATAAAGGGTTCCAGCTCCCCAGTTGTTCTTCCTGGTCTACCCACATGGATATGTGAGACTGTCCTGTATGCCAGCCACTGCCTTGCCATGTGTCCTTTCCACCACGGCTGTCTGTCTCCACCCCTCCCACGTGTTTGATGAATGTTTCTTCTTTAACTCCATGGTTGTCAGACTTCCATACAGTTAGATTTTCTGGCAGTTCTGGTTATTTTTTGTTTTTAAATTTGTTGTCATCCTTTTGGTTATGTGAGGAGGCACAGTGTATCTGCACCTCCACCTTGGGCAGAAGTCATCTGTTTCCACTCTGATTATTGTTATTTCCTTCCTCTACTAACTTTGGGCTTCATTAGTTCTTTTTCTAGTTTCCTTGAAATGTAAAGTAAGTTTGTGTATTCAAGAGCTTTCTTCTCTCTATTTTTTTAATGCTTTATTTATTTATTTTTAGAGATATGGGAAGGGTGGGAGAGAAACATCATTGTGTGAGAGAAACATAGATTGGTTGTCTCTCACATACCCCCAACTGGGGACCTGGCCTGTAACCCAGGCATGTGCCCTGAGTGGGCATTGGACCAGCGACCTTTTACTTCTCAGGCTGGCATTCAATCCGCTGAACCACACCAGCCAAGACAAGAGCTTTCTTCTTAATGTGGGCAATTAGCAGCATAAACTTCCCTCTTAGAGTTGCTTTTGCCACATCCCATAAGTTTTGGCACATTATTTTTCTGTTTTCATTTGACTCGAGATATTTTTATTTCAATTTTGATTTCTTCTTTGACCCATTGGTTGTTCAGTAGCGCAGTATTTACTTTGTATGTGTTTGTGAGTTTTCCAGTTTTCTTCTTGTAATTGATTTCTCATGTTATACCATTGTAGTCAGAAAAGATGCTTGATATAATTTTAGTCTTCTAAACGTTAGGTAGCAGCTCGGAATGAGCAGACAGACGGGAAGGCAGTGCCCCTGCCATTATGATCTAACAAAGAACTTAAAACGGGAGCAAGAAAAAAAGGGAGACATGTCTCAACAGTTAACTCAGCAGTCCTGAACCTGGTCCAATAAGATTGCCAGGTGTTCTGAACTTCACAAGCAAAACTATGATACCTCATGAGGAGGGGAGCCCTTGACATTCATCTCCACTAGCTGAGAAAGAAAATCCTTAAAATCATGTATTGATCCCAAGGTCTAGAAGGGGAGGAGGAGGGGGAACCTAGAAGCTGACTAAAGGATATAACTTCTGAATTCCTGAGAGTCAACACACTCAGATTAGCTGAGTGCTCACTTGTAGCCAGGTGCTCCGGTGTATACAACAAACCTACTCACAACTTTATTTCCCCTATACATGGGGCATTCAGAGTAGCCGGGTGCCTGCTTGCAGCTTGTGCTCGTACATGTTTCATAAATAAACTCGCCATCTCATTTCCAGTACATGTGTTGTCTCTTGGCTGAATTCTTCTCTTGTGAGCAAGACAAGAACTGAGGAGAGGCAGCTCCTGACTCGGGTCTCCCCAGTAACATAAACATCATTAAGATGTATTTTGTGGCTTAATATATGCTTTCTCCTGGAAAATGTTTTATGTGCACTTGAGAACATATGTATTCTGTGTTGTTGGACGGATTGTTCTGTTGTATGTCTGTTAGATCACTTTGTTCTAATACGTATTTCCTTATTGAAATCTCCCTATTGATTATCTTTCTGGATAATCTATCCACTGCTGAAAGTGTAGAAATCCTCCTCTATTATTGTAGCACCGCTGTCTGTTGCTTCCTTCAGATATGTTAGCATTTGCTTCATATATCCGGATGCTCTAATATTGGATATTGGATGTATAAACATTTATAACATATAGGCCTATTTGATGTACTTCATAAATTCCTTAAGCCATCTTTAGTCTTTTTCATTCTTTTTTTTTTTTTACTGCTCTGATTAGATCACTTTCTCTGCCTTTAAGTTTACTGATCCTTCTGTTTGGTTCAATCTTTTGTTGACCCCTCTTGGATTTTTCAGTTCTTTTATTGTTATTCTTCATTTCTATGATTTCTGTTTAGTACTTTTCAATATTTTCTGTCTCTCTGTTGAAATTCTCATTTTGTTCAGACATTGCTCTCCTGATCTCAGTGAGACACATATGATTATTATTTTGAATTTATTATCGAGTAAATTATTTATCTCTGTTACATTAAGATCTTTTTATAATGTTTTCATCTTGTTATTTTCTTTGGGGCCTGGGGAGAATTGCAGTCACTACCTAAATGTGTGATAATTAGAAGCCAGATTTGTAGGCAGTAACTTGTAATATATGCAGTTAAACCCTTCCTGGGGAAAATATAGGGATTTTTTTCCTGCTCTTTCTGAGCTGAGTCCTTGGGCAAATACCCACTGCAAGTGCTCGAGTGCCTTGGGAAACTCCTCTTTGTTTGCTACAATCCTTTGGGACTGGGGACTGCAAGCCCTGTTGGCTTTCAGAGCTAGGTGTTTGGGGGTCCCATCCCTCACACAGGAGCCTTAAAAATCGGAGCAGTAAAGGTACAAACCCGTCACTCCTCAGAGTCTGGAGCTAGGGGTGGGGTTTATGGCAGAGTGTGTCTTTTTCTCAGTCGCCATATATGTAGCTACATTCTCTCTAAGAAAATTGTTCCATTTGTAGCTGTACATTCTGTGTGTCCATGTGAGGAGGGAAATTCGGGAGTTTCTTGTAGTCTCCATTTGGTCCAGAATCTCCTCAACTTAACCACAATCACCTATAAAACTTTCTAAAAATATATGAATTCCAGGCTCACTTAAACCACATGAATAATAATCCCTGGGAGTGGGTTCCAGTGTGAGTGTGTATATACTTTTTCTGTGACCATCTTGTTATCTTGCTATATGGCCAGGTTTGGCCATCACTAACCTTGGGGCCACATTACCCTTTGTTACCCATACACTGACTGACAAGATGTCTCGTGCTCTGATCTGCTGCTCTAATCAGGCTCATTACGGCAGTGGGGAAGCACACTGCCTTTTGTCATGGCTCTGACTAGTTCTATGGAGTTAGTTCTTAGAGCCTTAGTGGGCCTTGGGTGCTTTACAAGTAATTCAAAGTCCATGGAGCAGCTGAGGTACCCAGAAGTGCCTCTACTCTGAGGCAAGAGCTGTCTGTCCTTCACTGGTGAAAGCGGGACCTGAACAACATAGCCCTTCCTGATTCTGGCTGATCCCTTTGCTCTCTAATATTTCTAGTCCCGAAGCTAGAAGGTGGGGGAATCCATGTTGTGGCTTGATGTCCACAAAGATCAGATTTAGCACATTAAAGGTCTATAAAATTTTGCTATGGCTGGTGTAGCTAAGGGAATTGAGTACAGGCCTGTGAACCAAAGGGCTGTGGTTCTACTCCCAGTCTAGTGCACATGCCTGGGTTGAAGGGCCAGGTCCCCAGTAGGGACATGCAAGAGGCAACCACACATCGATGTTTCTCTCCCTCTCTTCCTCCCTTTGCCACTCTCTAAAAATAAGTAAATAAAATCTTTTTTAAAAGTCTATAAAATTTATTTCATAAAACTGTCAGAGTTCCAGAAATATATTCTAAGATATAAGTGCCAAAATTCTATCCTAGATTCTATTAGTTATACATTCAAGAATACATTTTGATAAGGAAGTTTAGGGGGTTCCTAAATATATCAAAAGAATTTTTTACCTGTGAGCCCTCAATTTCATGATGGAAGGCATCTGCAGTTTCTTGGACTAAAGCAGTCAATGCATCATATTCAGGTGTTGAACAATTAATTTCTTGCTCTATGTCTATATTAATTCCATCCATATATTGTGTTTTGGCCAAGTTAACTTGTTGAGCTATCCAGGATGTTCTGAAATTAGGATCAATGATATCCTGTAACGATACATCTCCTGTGAAAGAAATATACATCTTTTGTGCATATATGCTTTTCACAGTTAAATGACATTTACTTCACAAACCCATTCCAAAGAAATCAAAATGTCCTTTAAACATCTCATTATTTTGGAATACTAAGCTCCTACTTTGTCTTCTAAATGAAGAAATAATATAATAAAATAATAAAAAGTCATTACTTATTCACCTCCAAAATAACTGTTTCCAGTAAATAATAAAATCATTCTCAAAGCAGAAGCAGAAATTATGGACTATGACTAGTTAAAGGACATCATGCTAATTAGGAGTCACATTTGTCTCAAGATGGTGCCACGGTTTGTTTAATTCTTTAATAATTGCATTTGTAAAATGAATTAAACAATATCAAGATTGAGTTTAGAGTGCTAAAAATATGCCAGATGAACATGAAAGGGAAGTATTTGGAAAACGGCAATAGCAAATGATGCAAGTAAACTTACCAACTGTCTAGACACATCTGGTAAAAACTGTACTCACCTTTTAGCACTACTCTGGCTCCTTTTGCATGAGCATAGCACATAAGTTCTGAGTCATATTTTCCAAAAAGTGCCACAGTTGTAATCTGTGACCAGTCATAAGATTTCCAAGTTTTGCCACCAACATCAAACACAAAGACCTGCCAGAACACCAGGACAAACACCATCACTTAACCCAAGAAGAACATCACGTTGACCCCCCAGAATAACATTAAATACCAAACATATGTCAGGTACTGGGGGTAATGAGAGTGCCAGTGAATAAGACATTGGGGTAGGAGTCCCAGTGTAATTGGTGGCAGGGGAAATTAGTCAGCCTGGAAAGCAGGAATGGGTAGTTAAGAAGAGAGAGTGGCAAGTCTCAAGGCCTGGAGGTAGAGTGAGCATGGTGGTGGTGTAACTAAATACTGAGAGTGGCTTTCCCCTAGAACTGGATTGCAACAGCAGGGAGGAACCAGAGAGTAGCAAGCAGGATTAAATCATAAAGGCCTTGAAAGCTCTCTTGAGAAATTAGTCCTGAAGGAACTAATTTATCCTGAAGGAAAGGGTTTTAGAGGAGAATTCACACATGGGCATTTTAGGTCTGCATTTATGTGTGCATTTTAGAACTATCGCTTCAGCCAAAGTGGAAATGGATTCAAGAGAGGCTATAACTGGAGGCAGAATAAGAATCCTAACAAGAAATGATGGTGACCTCACCTGACAGCAGACATAAGTGAGATTAATACTCAGGTCTGAAAGACCCTAAGGAGGCAAAGTCAACAGGACTTTGTGACGATTTGAATGAGTAAGGCAAAAGAAAGAGGAAGTTTATAATCCTCAAGTTTCTGGCTGCTGTAGGCAGAGACATAAATACTGTGTTTTTATGAATGATTTTGGTAAACCTGACTTCTTAGAATAGTGCTCAAGTTGAATTCTAAAGCAGGTAATGTTGTTTTTCCAGTATTTTTACCACGCATAATTCTAGAAGCACAGAAGGCTCACTGATCATTATTATTTTATCCCAAAGAAGGTGTTAATTAATTCAGCAAATATTTATTGAACTCCAGTAAGGAATCGGGAGAGGATGTTGCTAGGCATCAGTGGCAAAGAGGTTAAAAAGAGAGAACAGGTCCATTGTCCAAGTGCAATAACGTTGAGGGCTGCGCAGGAGGGCAGGGACCACGACAGCAGGAGGAGGGGAGCTGCTTCGCTAGTCAAGCAGGAAAACTTCCCTGAGGACTACACACTTTTAGGAAAGGACTGAAAACTGTAGAATGATCTGGACAGAATTGAAAGGACATACCTATGAACAACAACAACAAAAAAAGGCATTTTCAGCAAACAGAACAAAAAGTGCAAAGGTTTCAATCCCTCAAGAGACTTCTGATTTCATGGAACCAAAAGAAAGTCAATGTGGCTAGAACACAATCTTGTAAGTACATGGGCTCAGGTAAAACTAGTAAGGTCAAGATCAAGTAAAGTCTTGTAGACCAGGGAGGATTTGGTATTTTATCCTGAGAGCAATGAGAAGTCATTAGAGCATTTTAAGCAGGGGTGTAGCCTAAGATTTGCATTAAGAAATAAAAGAGAGAAGTGGGGGGTGGGGGAGCATGATTGATTGATTACTGGTCCACTGTGAGTAGAACAGGTGGGGAAGGCTGGTGGGGAGATCCAGCTATTAAAGTTAAACTGGACATTTCTCAAATTTCCAATTTCTGGACTTATGCTTTGTTTCACTTTCCAGAATTCACTGTACATAACTCATTTTTCTGCTAAGCAGTTTTCCATTGAAATTATAAAAATTAGAAAATGTGAAATTGAACAGCTCATTGTTTTTAGACACATATCTCTATCATAAACCTTAACCACTATTTTAATTGGTAGTTAAAATTGAGTTTGTTAAAAAAAAAAAAACTACTGAGAGTCTGTGATATAATAGAAATCCTGAAAAATAGCTGGATGAACTAACTGAAAAACAAAAGAAAAAAAGCTATATAATCTAGTCATGGGGTTTGAAAAATATAGAAGAGGTCAGTAGAAAAAAAGACCATTTATCAGGAACATGCAATGAACACAATTTTGCTTGTTCGCATAACTCGCTTTCCAAATGCCCATAAACCCTGTCTAACCTGCTAAGAGTGTTCTCCATCATAAACACTTTCACCACTTTCATTTTTCCTCCTAAACAGCGTTATGTGTTTTTTTTTTATTGGCATTGAAATGCCGCAGCATCAAACTTATCTGCTAGATTGAGAACTGGCAATTGTGCCTACATTACACAATACTACTCTTTGGACTAAGCCTGTACACCTCTCTGAGGTCCATTCCTGCCGCAGTCATCAAAATCTAGCAGTCAGTTTTCATGTTGCCCCCCAAACAGTTTGATTACAGTTGCAAAGGCCCTATAAATAGTTAGGTGTAGAAGGAAAATTTATTGACAGACCTATTTTTATCCACCTTCGAGGATGATTTTGGAGGTACCTGAAGGACAGGGGTGGTGAGTATAGAAAAGCAAAACATTTTGCCCTCCAGTGCATTGTTGGAGGGCAGAGATTCTTTCAAAAGGAACCCTCCTCTTGAAAACCAGTGGGTCTTCCAGCTCAGGAAACAGCTCATTATCCTAGCCCCTTGCTTGTAAGGCTAGAGAGTGCAGGGCAGAGACACTGCTGTGTAATGAGAGAAGCTTGTGTTTGGAGTCAGATCTGGGTTTGAACTCTTGCCTGCCTCTTCCAGTCACTTGCTGTCAGACGTGGGAGGAGTTACTCAACCTCTCCGAGCCAGAATTTCTTCATCTACCAGATTAAGTAAATTCATAAATAGGAAAGCCCCAGGCAAGTGGTCAAATGCGTTTCAGCAGCAGCAGCCACCTCTTTCTAGAGGGTCAACTCGAACTTCTCTTCAGGCTTGTGGGACCAGACCCGGGTTGGGGGGAGGGCGGTGGGAGCGGGGCAAGGCGAGAGGCGCTTACCTCGAAGTCGGGGTGGTCGCGGATGGGTTGGCACAGCCCTGGATCCTGGCACGGGCAGTTGGCCCCAGCCTGGATCGGCAGCAACAGCAGCAGCGGCAGCAGCAGAGCGATTCCAGGGGTGCTGCTCCAATGCTGCGGTAGCACACGTCGGAGTCTAAGCCACTGTCTGGACATGCCGGTGTTGCAAAGAGTGGCGCGAGTGGATCCCTCCTGACTGTCTGGGAGGGGCGGAGCCTGCAGGTCTCCAGAAGGGGGCGGGCGTGGGCGGTGCTTCTGAGCTGGGAAGGGGAAGGACTGGGCGTTAGCTAAGGCTGGGTTGCATGGAGGTTGGAAGAAGAAGGGGCTCTCTAAAAGGCAAATGCTGTGAGCCAGGGCCTCTGCCCATTAGGTGACTCTCAAGTAAGTATCACCTGTGCCTTTCGTATCCCCACCAAATGCTCCGCAGCTCTTAGTTGCTTGTGTACTCCTTGTGGAGTCTGCAGGTGCAGGGTCGCCCCCAAGTGGAGAAGTGGATGTCCTTGAAAAGTAAGGAAGAATGATGGAGTTGGAATGGCCAGAAGATTTTTTTAAGGTAGAGATATACGTTCTGAGTTAAGATGGCTGTTTGAATCCCACTTCCTCAGGGGGAAAAAAAGCAAACAAACCCTAAGCCCACGGGGGGGAGGAGGAGACGACAGCTACAGTATTTTGGAAGCTGGAAAGCACAGGTACGAGAGGTAAGCGCCCCAGCTCCAACAGTGAGGAAAGCTGAGAACTCAGTTTAAACTAGACACCTGGAAAGTTCTGGAGCTGCAAGAGGTGACTGAGAAAATAGGATTTGAGCGGGGTGGAGTGGATTTCTGAAAATAAGGGGGAATTAGTGAAAGCTGCTTGAGAAGCAGTTAGATCGCCATAGTTTTTTTTTCCCTCCAGTGTTGCGTCTCTAGGCAGCTGCCCCTTTCCCACCTCGGCTCAAGTTCTGAGGTTTAATTCTCTGGAGGGAGTAAAATCTCTAGCAGTGCTTGGATACTGCAGTAAAAGGGGAACTAAGTGACCTGGTGCCTGACCACAGATACTGACATCAGGGTTCCCCACAAACTGTACACCGGATTACTCTGTACTGAAATTCAAAGTCAAGAGCCTGATCCACTCAGAGCTTTCTCCCTTTTTACTTCTTATCTTTTCAAGTCATGGACAGCAAACAAGAAAAGCCAATAATATAAAAAAGAGGCCTAAACAACTTTTAAAAATTAATGTGGAAGAAAAACAGACACTGCAGGGTGAACACTTTTTAAATACTCTCAGAAATACTCCCAAAACTTGAAGAGAAAACATAGCCTCTACAGGATGCAACAACAAAAAGGGGGAGTGAGTGGATAAATTGAGTTCTTGAAAATCAGAAAGAAGATAGCAAAAATGAGGGGGGTTAAAGACAATTTGAGGAAAATAGAGCAGAACTACTCTTCGATGAGAAAAAAGAAAATTGAAAGAGCAGTCTATAAAGGAAGAGATCAATTAAGTAATTCAAGAAGAACTTTCAGGACTGAAAGACATGAGTTTTCAGAATGAGAGAGCGAAGAATAGATCCTAAAAGCTTCCAAAGAGAAAAGAAGTCACATAGAATCAGAATGTCATGAGCTTCCTCAACATCAACACCTGAAGCTCAAAGACAATGAAGCAATGTATTTAAAATTCTGAAAGGATATAATTTCCCATAAAATCCTGCCAAAATATTAGTCAAGTGGAAAGTCATGCAAATTTTCAAAGTACTACCTACTATACATGCTTTCTTAAGAAACTAGTAGAGAATATGTTTACCCAAAACAAAAAAAGGATGAAAGAGGACTAAAAGAGGTACAGAAAATAGGAGATCTAAAACAGGAGAGAGAGATAAATAACAACCCAACCCCTGCCCACCCAAAAAACATGGTAAATCCCATAACTGCTAAGCATCCCAGAACATCAAGGTCAGATTAAATCATGCTAGAGAATTTGGAAACGACATGTTGATCCACTTATCTGTAGTCATCTCCAGAGTAAGCAGTGAGTCAAGATGAAAGTCAGAGAAAACATTTTATTGCCAAGATATAGGATAATGGTGGTGTAGGAATGAGATTGATGGATGAACTCAATAAAATAGTACATTCTTAAATGAATGGTGTCGCTGAAGCTAGCTGTCTTGTAATCAAGAAGAAAAGAGCCTTCTGATTCCTATAGTGTCAGACTACTCTGTGATACAGAAGAAAACACGTATCTCCTTGTGCTGGAGGTTCCCAAGACTTCTCCCAAGTTCAGTAATTCACTGGAACTCACAAGACTCAGCAAAAACTGTACTCGCAGGTAAGATTTATTACAGAAGGATACAAAGCAAAATTGGCAATAGGAAAAGGCACATGGGGCAAAGGCTGGAGGAAACCAAGCAGAAGCTTCTAAGAGTTCACTCCCCACGGAGTCACAAAGGACAGGCTTAATTACTGCAGCGTGAAATGTTGTCCACCATGGAAACTCATTAGAAACTCGGGAAATGGTAGAACCAACCAAAATCCAAGTTCCCTGAGGCTAGCCAAGAGCCAACCTTGCAAACAGGCCTTTCTGAGGGTGGCACTCTCAGGCCTGTTATTCTCTTTTCTACATACTACCCAAATGAGGATTGCTATATGTCTGTCCATGCACAGGACATCTATACACTGTGGGTGCACAAGAAGCTAGTGGTGTTTGCCTCTAAGGAGAGAAAACTGTACCTGAGAGAAAATGGGATGAGGCAGACTTGCTTCTCACTGTTTACTCTTGCTCCTTTTGAAACTCATATGTACACATCATCAGAGCAATATTTAAAGAACTATAACTTTGCATATTTTTTAACTACTCAAATTTTTCTTGTTTTGTAGATGGGAGCAGAACAAAATACTCCAACGTGCCCCAAACTATGTTTTAGAGTAAAAAACTCCTCCAAAGGCATGTATAGGTCTGTCTGGAACGTGCAGCTAGCAAAGTTTAACATCCAAAGCCTCAAGCAGTATTCTCCGTAGTCTTTAATTAGTATGCGGTGAAAAAACAAAGACTTGAATGCTTCCAACAAAATTGCTTTGAAACCAGTAAGTAGCCTAGCTACCAGTAAGTAACACATTCAGATGATGAGAACACTCAGATTGTTTCATGTGGCTTATTGTAATCTACTTTTCTGAATTCCAATCTTCCCCTCCTTTAATACGAGCTATAACTATGGTTTTCAAACCTTAGCCTTGATAATAATTACCTACAAGGCTCAAAATGCAGAATCCTAGGCCCTCCCCCCAGAGATTCTGATCCCCTGGGGCAGTGTGGAACCAGGAGTGGCAATTAGAAACAAGAGCCCCAGGCAATGGTCCTGCAGGTGGTTGTGGTGTGTAAGGGGAGAACACCGCCATAATTGATGCTTTCATAGTCTTTCTAAAGTACGGGGTGGGGGGAGGGTTGTTTGTTTATTGTTTGCTTGTTTTTGTTCTTTTTTACATCCTACCACCTTTTCAAAACTCTTTCCCCATTTAGTACAGCCAAGTTTCTTAAACATATAGGAGTTCACAATTCCTTCTGAGGAACTAAAAATCGCTATGAACACCCTCTCTAGAAAAGTATATACATATGAAAATTTTGTAAACAGTCTTTAAGTTTCTCTATGGACTACTAGGGTATTTGATCTTAGGCATAGCACTAAGAAGTGATCATTCACAAATAGAGACCTCAAATCGCATTCATAATATTTATTTTACTGCCACAGTTCACTCGCGCCTAATTTTTTCCAAAACTTCTGAGTTTTGGCTCCTTCTCATTCTTCTTGCCCACTGCTATCTTGTCATTCCCGCTGCTACCGTGTGAAAATACCACACTTTCTGAACCAGATACCAGGATTCCATGTAAGTTATGACACCCAATACAGTTGACAGAAAACTCAATTTGGCTTGCATGAAAAAGAGGGAATTTATTAGGTTAAGAAACTAAAAGTTCATGTATGAATCTTCAGGACCCGATGACTCCAATAATATCCCCAGTTCTCAGTCTCATTCTCCACTTCTCATCTCTGCTTCTCTCGGAATTGGCTTCGTTCTCAGGCAGGCTTTCTCCTTACAGTAAGATGATTGCCAACGGCCCGGGCTTCCCAGCATCTCTGCGGGCGCCCCTACCTGTGCCACTTCAGGGCGAGGGCACACGTGGAAGTTCGCACACCTGCCTGAAGACTAAAGATTTTAAAGTTATAACCAAGCCAACAAACTATGCTCTATCTGGAAACATATGGCTTATAATGATGAAATAAATACATCTACGTGTGTGAGTGTGTGTTTTGTTTTTATGACTGAAAGTCAATGAACTGTTAAGGTGATAACATTTAATTATTATTACATAGACATTGATGGTTTGATTTTTTACTCATTCCATAAGATTTACTTTCATGTTTTTGGTTCAGTGAAGCCACTAATTATACTATAATAATAAAGATTTTCACACTGTTTGTATTCTTTTGAGAGTAATGATCTTAAGGATTCAAAAGTAAGGTGTAGTTAGCTGTATTTTTAAATATAGTTGTGTTTAAAACATGAAATTTTAATACATTTCATTTAAAAAGTAAAGTAAATGTGAAACAAAATGTGTAAGTTTCCAAAAAGTTATATTTATTCTAGAAAAGGCAACATACAAAATAATTAACGATTATACCTTTTTTCACCACAGTTTTAGGTTCATAGCAAAATTGCCGGCGTCCAGCACCGGAGCGTGGCCTGTGCTACAGTGAACCTACGCTGGCGCATCACCATCGCCTGGAGTCCACAGTTTTCACTGGGGTCCATTCTTGGTGTGTGCGTTTCATGGGTTTTAGCAAATGTCTAATGACATGTACCCACCATTGTAATATTGGACAGAATAGTTTCACTGCCCTAACAATGCTCTGTGCTCCACCTAGCCCTCTCTCCATCTCCCTCACCACTGGCAACCACTCATCTCTTCAATGTCTCCATAGTGTTGCCTTCTCCAGAATTTTGCATGTTTGGAATCATATAGTACAGAGCCTGTTCAGATTGGCTTTTTTCAGTCAGTAAAATACATTTAAATTTCCTCCATGTCTTTTCATGGCTTGATAGCTCATTTGTTTTTAGTGCTGAATAACATTTATTGTCTGGATGTACCACAGTTTATCCATTCAATTACTGAAGGACATATTAATTGCTTTCAACTTGGCAATTATGAACAAAGCTTCCATAAACATTCTTATGCAGATTGTCATGTTATAACACTTTTAAACAAAGCATAAATTTAAATTTATTTTTGGCAATTTAAATCTAATTAAATATTTTTATTAAAATAGAGCCATGCATAATTCCTGCATTGCATATGCCATAGTAGCATGCCATAGAGCAAAAAACAAAAAGAAAAATTACAGTAACAACATAAAACATCAATCATCTGGGATTCAGTTGAACAAAAACAAGTGCAAGGTGCAAGACCTCTGTGTAGAAAAGTACAAAAATTATTGAGAGAAATGTTAAAAGATCTAAGTAAATTGAAAGAGACAGAAATGAAGAGCATCCCTATCAGCAAGGAAGAAGCGAAGTTGTCTCGTTAGCAGAGGATGTGACCGCACACACAGGAGACCCTGGAGGTCCAAAGGTGCTGTTAGAGCATTTAATACACAAATTCAGTAAAGTCGTGGGATCCGAAAGTCACCACACACACGTCAGCTGCATTTCCGTACACTCACATTTTCTTTTTAAAAATCAGAATTTATTGGCTATGACACACTTAAGGACATTCTTTTCCAAGACTCTAAACAGGTTGCTAGAAAACCATAAAGTAGATGGAATAATACTTTTTCACATCACCAAATATCCACTTAAATAGTGTTTGTGATCTCCCAGTAAAAAATAAATCTAAAATGAGTTGCCCAATACTCTAAATTTGTGGATTACGGCTTCGTACACAGCACTGCATTTTATTACCGGAACTCGAGGTGAGAGAATCAACCATTTCTACCAAATGTTCACACTTGTGGACTGGGTTTCACTGCTCATCAACACCAGTGGATTCTAGAAGAAAAGAACATTTGAAAGTGATTTGTCTTTAGAAATTCTCTTGATGACTATAAGGGAAATTGAATACTATAGACCTCATGAAATAATGAAAATATACTAATTACAGCATATGAGTTTAAATACTGTAACGTGTATCGGGTACATAGTCTCAAGGTCATGACTAGCTGCACATTTGTACATGACAAATGTTAAGCCATAACATTTTAGCTGTCAGTTTGGTTATTATATGTGTATGTATCTCTCTGATACATGTGACCTACAATGTACTGTTTTTGCTGTGACCTCCACAAAGTTAAACTTATTTTAAGCCCCCTAAACGCCAATAAAATTTTAAACAATGCAAATTCTTTTCCCAGAACTAAAATATTATCAAAATAAAGATCTTGTTTCAGTTCTCTCAGGAAAAGACAATACTTTTTAATGATAAACACAAATAATTTATTTCTGCTTTTCATAGATTTGATTCAAGCTTAGTTTAAAATATCGTTTGTCAGGGGGAGTCAGATTGTTTTCCTCATCTTGAAGTCTCCGTAATTCTTGCTACTACCATTTTTACACTCAGGCTCGGAACTTTGAGAGCAGCTTGTTTGTTTTCATTTTGGAACATTTCCTCTCCATTAGCTGCTATGAATTCAAATCCTTGTTCTTAAATTATAGATCTTGGATGATTCTCAGCTCCATTTTACAGGTAATAAGGCTAAGGCGCACAGGCTGACTGTCCCAAGATGTCACAGATAACATAACTAAGGCACCTGGGTTGACTTGCCCTGGAAGCCCTTTCCTTATAAGGAGCAAAGCCAGCATTCAAGCCCTGGCAGTGCCACCATCCGACTGCAGCAAGTTCTTGTGCCACATCCTGCTGCCTCCCAACTTTCCAGCTGCAGCCGCCATTCTCCTCCCTTCCTCCTGAAGTCCACCCAGACGAACCTTTCACATATCCTGCACCCTCCTGTCATTTTCCCGCTCCAGAGCAGCAGGCACTCCTGCATCAAGTCCATATTCTTCTGCCTGACTACCAAGTTTCTCCATGATCTGTTCTAATCTGGAGTGGCCAATCTTTCTCCACATCTGTCCTGTCCAGCCAGGGGGCAGCCTTCTGTCCTGCCTGTGGACCTTTGCTTACAGGACGCCCTCTCCAGGCAGCCTCCTATTCTCACCCTAGTTCCCGTCTTCTTCCCTTCCTCTTCTCTGCTGCACTCAGGCCTCGCCACCCAGTTTCGGAGACTCGCCAATCGGGAATTGTTTCTGTGTGTCAGTATCAGCTCCCCGCCAAAAGACGCTCAGAGCCTGGAGAGCAGTGGTTGGCAAAGTGTGCTATCCAATCAGCACCGCCTGGGAACTAGTTGGAAATGCACATTCTCGGACCTCAGCCCAGCTCTGCTGAACTAAGAGCTCTCTCAATTCTAGCATGTGTCAGAATCACCGGCAGAACTTGTTAAACAGATTGTTCGGCCTTCGAATTTATGATTCAGTAGGTCCGGGGTGGGCCGCATCTGGATGAAATCAAAGGACCTGAATAGTCCCAGGCTCACGTCTTTACCGCTGTTTGGTCCTAGCGATATCGTTTGATTAATGAAAAGTAAAAAGATGGCAAGAAGTTGGCCTTTCAGATCATGAAGCAGACATTTCTGGGTTCACTCGGCCGGAGTCCGTGAAGACTGACCAACACTCCCTGCACCTTCAGCTCGGTAGCTGTTGGGCATTTGGGATTCCAATTTTATTCATCATCACTTTTCACATACACCACGGATTTTCCCAGTCATCTAAAAAGAATGTTGGCTCTTTATTTTTAAAAGTGGACAAAAAGGAAATATAATTATGTATTTTTAATAAGTAGACATAAAAATGACAATATGTAATTATATTGTTAGTGGTAATAGTAAAGGAAGAAATTAGCTTGCATGTTTTCCCCTTAATAAAAAGTGTTCAGTGCCATAGTCATAGATTGTTAACTCGAGACCAATTTTCTCATGCTCGAACGGGACATTGGACTCTATAATGAAGCAAAAAAGTTCAAGTAGAAAATTCGGATTCTAATATCCCCAATTTTGCCTGTATTATATTAACATGTTGGCTATTATAAAATGCTTTCACTGATTAAAAAATAAAATTTGAAAAACACGGCGACAGGGCACTCCTCTACCTTGACCAACCATCTTTTAACTAGTGACTTTGCTGCATGGTCTTTTGCTCTAAAAAACTGGCAGGCACGTTGGACACAGGTACGACCTGCGCTTTGCCTCCTTTGCTGCCCTTGGAAGAACCTGCTTTTCCTGCTGCTGCCATTCTGGGCACGTGTAGGGGGCCAAAGGGAGCTGCTGTGGGCGTGGCTTCTGCTGCTGTGGGCGTGGCTTCTGCTGCAGCCTGTGTCGCTGTAGCTGCCGCTGCTTGGGTTATTCCTGAAGCTCCTGCTTTCACCATTCACGTTGACCTCCACATCTTTTCTTTTTGAATTCTCAAACAACCAGAATAAATATCAAAACACAAAAGGACACAAAAAACCTTGGTACAGAATTTACAGAATGACCTCTAACAGTCTACAAATGTTTCTCTGGCGATTGGGGAGGGGGTGCTGTTTTTAAAGCTTTGAGAGTATAATCTCTTATTTTCAATGAAGACATACTTTTAATTGAGTTTTAACCTGATATAACATCAAAACTTCAGAAGACGACTTATTTGTAATTTATGATTTGCCTTTACTGGGCAATAAAAATATTTTACAGTGCTATAACATATTGTTTTGGTTTCAAAACATATTTCATTATTTGAAAATTGTGAGTAAAATAATAAGTTATCGAATTCTAGCTCATAGCTTTTTTCTCTTTCTCATATTCCTTTCCAGTGTAAGGGGGAAAAGTACCAGGACAACTGTAATAGCAAAGAAATAGAGAGAGAGAGAAAGGAACGAAGGGAGGGAGGAAGGAGAAAGAAAGAAAGAAAAAGATGGATATGTACCGCCGTTACTACCACTTTTCTTCCTTCCTGTCTCATCTCTGGAACTAACCGCATCCTAGTCAAAAGAGGTGTAGCCCTGGTTGGGCAGCTCAGTTGCTTCAAGCATCGTCCAGTACAACAGAAAGGTTGGGGGTTTGATTCCCAGTTGGGTTATACGGGAGGACATTGATTAATGTTTTTTTTTTCACATCAGTGTTTCTCTTTCTCTTTCTCTAAAATCAATAAACATATCCTTAGGAGAGGATTTTTTTTAAGAGAGAAAGAAAAAGAGGCCTAAAAGCTTAGGAAAACCTACTCAGCACACTAGGTAATTCAACAGCAGTGTTCATGGTCAAGGTCCTGGGAACAGGGGCAATGCAACAAACCATGCCAAATCGCAGAAGAAGGTGGAGGCTGGAGGAGCTCCCGAGGTGGTGGTGAAGGGCATGTCTGCCCTCAGTCAAGCCCATGCCCAGGACCCCCAGTGGCTCTGGCTGCTTTAGACAGAGGGGGCATAAGAAAGGGCAACATCCCATTTGAGCAAAAGGGAAAGCAAAGGCGGCCTTCCCCTCCCGGCTGACTTTTCCTCTTATGGGCAAAAAGGGCTTCCTATCACCTACTACCCATCACCCCATCCACCCCTGCCTGCAGGTGAACCTCGGCTACAGTTTTCTGGGGAGAGGAAATAGGTAGGATAGACAGGATGGCAGAGACACCCCGGGATGAGTGTCTACATCACATTTCTCACCTCTCGGCCTC